CTGGATGTCACTTCATGTACTTCATTCTTTTGAGGTTTATGGGCCCTCAGTAATAGAAATTGCATATTTGAGATAAGCTGCTTTTGTTTGTGGAGGTTTATGAGTGTTTTAGCATTGAAAAAACAGGAAGCTAGCGAAACAAAAGTAGTACATAATATCATTGTCAGTAGATTAATTACTAGTATATAGATACAATCTACATCTTTTTTGGAGAGCAAGTTGAGCTCCCAAAATTGCCAAGTTAAGATATTCATTTTTTATTGTAGTCAGCAGCTATGAAAGCTGATGATTTTAAATATTGTAGATAAAAGAAAATACATGTATTCTTCTGAGTTTTGCTTGCTAAAGAAGTTTTAGTGTACTATCTGAATATGCATATTGCTTTATTTATTTAATTTCTGTTGTCTGTGTCTTATGTTGCTTAATCTCTTCTCAATAGTAATTTTTAAACATAATAAATTTGAAACATCTATCGAAAAATGAATAGATGATGTGTGTATACCATAGAGAGGTATCAGAGTGCATGGATAGAGATCTGGCCTAAGGGTCAGTACACTGGAGCTCAGGCCCCTCCTCTGACATATCTTGGTTGTGTGATCAATCAAGTCACTAGATTTCTCAGTCTTCTTGGCAATGTTCTAAATCTGTAAGCTGCAGAATAGTATTTGAAATGAATTGCTGGAGGGAGTTTCTCACAAAGAGCTCCCAACGTTGAGGATATCATAGTCTGAATTATAAATCAAGTCAACAGGCATTTATTTAGCACAGTAAGTGGTGCTACATGCCAAGCACTGGGCTAGGTGTTGGGGTATGAGGAAAGGAAGAATGTCCTCAGTCTAATGGGGGAGCAGTTGTATAAATAAGATATATACAGTAGAAAGTTGAGAAAGTGTCAGAGGGAAGCCACTAAGGTTAAAGGAGGATTGAGAAAGGCTTCTGGTAGGTGAGCCTTTAGTTGAGAATTGAAGGAAACCAGGATGTCAGAAGGTAGAAAAATATATGTATATCACACACACACACACACACACACACACAGAGTGGCTAGAGGACTGCTCTTAAAGTCAGGAAAACCCAGGTTGATGTCCCACTTTTGACACATACTGCCTAAGTGAATATGAATATGGGCAAGTCATTTAACATCTCAGTGTCTCCAGGAAATTGCCTGAGACTCTATTGTTGTTCATTTGTTCAGCTGTGTTCTACTGTTCATAAACCCATGGACTATAGTGCGCCAGGCCCCTCTATCCTCCACTGTCTCCCGAAGTCTGTCCGATCTCATGTTCGTTGGCTTTCATGACACTGTCTATCTATCTTATCCTCTGCTGTCCCCTTCCCCTTTTGCCTTCAATCTGCTGGGTCTTTTTCAAGGGGTGGGGAACCTTCGGCCTCGAGGCTGCGTGTGGCCCTTTGGGTCCTCAAATGCGGCCCTTTGACTGAATCCGAACTTCACAGAACGAAAGTTTGGATTCAGGCAAAGGGCTGCACTTGAGGACCCAGAGGGCCACATATAGCCCTGAGGCCAAAGGTTCCCCATCCCTGGTTCCAATGAGTTCTGTCTTCTCATTATGTGGCCAAAGTATTCAACTTTAGCTTCAGTATTTGACCTTCCAATGAATAATGTGAATTAATTTCTTTAAATATTGACTGATTTGGTCTTGTTGCTGTCCAAGGGATTCTCAAAAGTGTTTTCCAACACCACAATTAGAAAGTATTGATTCTGAGGCACTCAGCTTTCTTTATAGTCCAACTCTCACTGCCATAAATTTCTACTAGAAAAAAAATATAGCTTTGATTAAACAGATTTTTGTCAGCTAGGTGATGTCTCTGCTTTTTAGTATGCTGTCCAGGTTTGTCATAGCTTTCCTTTGAATGAGCAAGCATCTTTTAATTTAATTAATGGCTACAGTCGCCGTCTGCAGTGATCTTTGAGCCCACGACTATTAAATGTGAGGTTGCTTCCATTTCCTCTCTATTTGCCAAGAAGTTATGGGATCAGTTGCAAAGATCTTAGTTTTTTTTTAATGTTAAGCTTTTATACTCTCCTCTTTCACCCTCATCAAGAGCCTTCTTAATTCCTCTTTACTCTCTGCCATCAGAGTGGTATTATCTGCCTATATGAGATTGTTGATATTTCTCCTGGCAGCCTTAATTCCAGATTTCGATTCATCCATTCTGGCATTTCCCATGATGTGCTCTGCATATAAGTTAAATAAATAAGGTGACAATATACAGCCTTGTTGTACTCCTTTCCCAATCTTAAACCAATCAGTTGTTCCATGTTTGGTTCTAACTGTTGCTTCTAGGTTCCTCAGGAGACAAGTAAGATGATCTAGTACTCCCTTCTCTGAGGACTTGGCCCATTTTGTTGTGTTCCACACAGTCAAAGCCTTTAGTGTAGTTAATGAAGCAGAAGTAGATTTTTTTTTCTGGAACTCTCTTGCTTTCTCCATAATCCAATGAATGTTGGCAATTTGGTTTCTAGCACTTCTGCTTCTTTGAAAACCAGCCTGCACTTCTGGTAATTCTCAGTTCACCTATCCCTGAAGCTTAGCTTGCAGAATCTTAAGCATAACCTTTTTGGTATATAAAATGAGTACAGGTGTTCAGTAATTTGAATATTCTTTGGCATTGCTCTTCTTTAGGATTGGGATGTAAATTGATCTTCTAAAATCCAGTGGCCACTGTTGAGTTTTCCATATTTGCTGCATATCGAGTGCTGTACTTTTTTTTTTTAAGGATTTAAAATAGCCAGCTTGAATTCTGCAACTTGTACTGGCCTTATTGTTAACAATGCTTTCTAAGGCCCTCTTGACTTCATCCTTCAGTATATCTGGTTCTAGATCAGTAACTACATTATTGTGATTAGTGGTAATGTGAAGATCTTTCTTCTATAGTTCTGTGTATTCTTGCCATTTCTTCTTAATCTCTTCTACATCTGTTAAATCCCTTCCACTTGTGTCTATTATCATGCCCATTTTTTTTGCATAAAATGTTACCTTGATATCTCTAATTTTCTTGAAGAGATCTCTTGTCTTTCCCGTTCTATTGCTTTCTTCTATTTCTTTGCATTGCTCATTTAAGAAAACCTTCTTATCTCCCTTTGATATTCTCTGGAACTTTGCATTCAGTTGGGAATATCTTTCCCTTTCCCTTTTACCTTTCACTTTCCTTCCTTCCCCAGTTATTTGTAAAGCGTCATCAGATAGCCATTTTGCTTTTGTGCTCTTCTTTTTCTTTGGGATGTTTGTTGTTGCTTCCTTCAGTACAGTATTGCAAACTTCTGTCCATAGTTCTTCGGGCACTCTATCTACCAGATCTAATCTCTTCTAATCATCACTTCCACTTCATATATAGTCTGATGGTTTTCCCTACTTTCTTCAATTTAAGTCCGAATTTTGCAAATAGAAACTCAGGATTGGAGCTACAGCCAGTTCTAGGTCTTGTTTTAACTGACTATATAAAGCTTCTCTACCTTTGACTGCAAAGTATATAATCAATCTGATTTCAATATTGATCATCTGGTCATGTCCTTGTGTAGAGTCATTTTTTGGGTTGTTGAAAAAGGATATTTGCTATGACCAGTGAGTTATCTTAACCAAACTCTATTAGTCTCTGCCCTGCTTCATTTTATATTCCAAGGCCAAACTACCTGTTATTCCAATTATCTTTTGATTTCCTACTTTAGCACTCTAATCCCCTATGATGAATGTAACATCTTTTGTTGCTGTTATGAAAATGTAAGTCTTCATAGAACTGAGCAACTTTGGCCTCTTGGGCATCTGGTTGGAGCATATACTTGTATCACTGTGATGTGGAATGGTTTGCCTTGGTTTCAAACAGAGATCATTCTGTCATTTTTGAGGTTATACCCCAGTACTGCTTTTCTCACCCTTTTATTAACTATGAGGAATACTTCTCTCCTTAGGGATCTTGCCCTCAGTAGTGCATGTCATGATCACTTGAATTAAATTCACGCATTCCTGCCCATTTAAGTTCACTGATACCCAAGATGTCGATGTTTAATCTTTCCATCTTCTGTTTGACCACATCCAGCTTATCTTGGTTTAGAGATCTTACATTTCAGGCTTCTTTGTAATATTGATCTTTACAGCGTTGGACTTTCCTTTTGTCACCAGACACATCCACAGCTGATCTTTCTTTTGGCTTTGGCCCAGCCACTTCATTCTTTCTGGAGCTACTCATAGTTGTCCTTTACTCTTCCCCAGTAACATGTTGGACACCTTCTAACCTGAGGGGCTCATCTTCTGGTGTCATATCTTTTATTATTTTAATACTGGCCATGAGGTTTTCTTGGCAAAGATACTGGAGTGGTTTGCGATTTCCTTCTCCAGTGGATCACCTTTTGTCAGAACTCTCCATGATGACCTGTCTGTCTTGGGTAACCCTGCATGGCACAGCTTACAGTTTCATTGAGCTATGCAAGCCCCTTTGCCACAATAAGGCAGTGATCCAGAAGATTCTGAGTAAAGGCAAATCACCTTTCTGAATATGTGGGTGGAGTTTCCATACTAGGAATTACTTACAGGGATGAAATCACACCCTTTCTGCCCCTCTCAAAACAACAGTAACTAAAATCTTTATACCTTAGCAGCACGAAGCAATATAGCTTACATGCTTAGATAGCATTCATTATTGCTTTCTGTTGAGTACATTAGTATCTAGCTCAAATATTAGAGGAGGGCTACTTTGTGTCATGTTAAAAATGTGCTATTCTTTGTACAGGCATATCCCACAAAATGTTGCCCTGATGAATTTTGTAATAATACATTATAATCAAATTCCACCATAACTTACATTATAGAGACAGCATGTTGTAGTGGATAAATAGCTGCCCCTTTGTAAGACAACATGTCTTTTAGATTATTTAGATGCTAAACAAAAGTAGACCTTGTCTTTGATATGAGTCAGAATTTAAACCATTGACTAAATGAGGTCTCCTATTTTCTAACAACTATTTATTTTTCTTTTTAATCTGTTAGGAACTGGACAAAGAACTTCCAGTGGTTTGCCCTTATTTTGTTGATAAACCCGCAGAAGCTGGAATGAAGGAAGGTGGTTTACGTGTCACATGGCTTGGACATGCAACAGTTTTGGTGGAAATGGATGAAGTAATATTTCTCACAGACCCTATTTTCAGTATGCGGGCTTCACTGACACAGTTGATTGGTCCAAAACGCTTTCGCAATCCACCATGCACAGTACAGCAGCTTCCCAAAATAGATGCAGTTATTATCAGTCATACCCACTATGACCACTTGGACTATAATACTGTACTTAGTCTAAATGAGCGCTTTGGTTGTGAGCTGAGATGGTTTGTGCCTATGGGTCTGTTAGAGTGGATGCAGAATTGTGGATGTGAGAATGTGATTGAACTGGACTGGTGGGAAGAGAACTGTATTCCTGGACATGATGATGTCACCTTTGTCTTTACACCTTCCCAACACTGGTGTAAAAGAACTCCAGTAGATGACAATAAAGTTTTGTGGGGCAGCTGGTCTGTCTTGGGGCCCTGGAATAGATTTTTCTTTGCAGGAGACACTGGTTATTGTACTGTGTTTGAAGAGATAGGAAAACGATTTGGACCTTTTGATCTTGCAGCTCTTCCCATTGGAGCTTATGAACCAAGGTATGTAGACTTCCCAGAGTTCATTAGAAAAAGGACTTGTTTTATGTGAATAAGAATATTATTTGATTACTATTTGCCATAACTTGGTGGTATCATTTGTAGGTCATAAGCTATTGCTCATTTGTAGACTAAAAGTCATGTGATACCTGTTAATCGATAAAATCTGAAACAATTTGAAAGGATCAAGTTGGATTAAAGTTACTTCTTGACTACATATACATATCATTTAATAAATGGTTCAACATATTTGATATTTGACTGAGATTGCAAGGAAAGACACTCAGAGATACAACGCATTCACTCTGTTAAGATCCTACAAGCACAAAGAATTGTATTTGACCTATTTTACATAAAAGAGCTGAGGTACTAGAATAGGGCAATCTTTCACTTCTTTCTGATTTGTATAAACTGACCCCTAATCTCTTTCTTCTCTTGTTCAGTCTTTTCAGTTGTGTCTGAGTCTTTGTAAACCCATTTGAGATCTTCTTGGCAATACTGGAACAGTTTGCCTTTTCCTTCTCCAGTTCATTTTACAGATGAGGAAACAGTCAAACAGGGTTAAGTGGAATGCATAGGGGTCACACAGCTAGTAAGTGTCTGAGGCTGGATTTGAATTCAGGAAGATGGGTCTTCCTGACTCCATGCCTGGTACTCTATCCACTGCACCACTAGCACACTCTGTCATCTCTTTCTTCTGGTAGGCTGCTAATTAATGCTTCTGATTCATATGATCTGTTTCTTTCTCTGCTTAACTAATGATCACTTTCTCCTGCTATAGTCTTTTTCTTCCAATTTCCTTATTTTAGGCCAGGCAATTTTACCTTTTCATATAATTTCTGTGATAACTATTACCATCTCTATTCATATAACTCCTAGACCTACAAATCTAGCCCTAATTTCCCTTCTGAACTTGCATCTCGAACTGCTTATTGGCCATTTTGAACTGGATTTCCTGTCCGACAACTCAAACTTAAAATGTTCAAAATACAACATGTTATTTCTACTCCCAAACATGCCTCTCTTCCAATCATCCTTCTTACTGTTAGAGGCACTAATATACTTCGATAACCTGGCTTTGCAATCTTGGTGTCCTGATACTGACCTTTCACTCCCCACACATACAGTAAGTTGCCAGATTTTCTTTCTGCTTCCACAGCATCTCTCACATAGTAACCCTGTCGCCATTCACAGAAAAGAGCCTATTTCAGGACCTCATCAGTTTTCTCTTGAATTTTTCATAGGCTTTCATTTGGTTTTCCTAATTCAAGCTCTCCTCAACTCATCCTTCACCCAGCTGCCAAAGTGGTTTTCCTAAAGTGCAGGTCAGATCATGTTACTTCTTTATTCGGTAAACTTCAATAGCTTCCTATTAACTCTAGGATCAAATATAAACTCTTGGCCAGCTTTTAAAACTCTTCACAACCTAACCTCATCCTACCTTGCTGTTGTTTAGTTGACTCTTTATGTTGTAAAGCTGACTCTTTATGACCCTTTTTGGGGTCTTCTTTTGCTAAGATGGTAGTTTCCCATTTCCTTACTCCAGCTCATTTTATAGATGAGAAAACTGTGGCAAACAGGGTTAAGTGCCATGACCAGAGTCACACAGCTAGTAAATGTCTGAGGCTGGATTTGAACCCTGGTATTCCTGACTCCAGGCCGGCACTCTATCCACTGTGCCTCCTAGCTGTCCCCTCATCCTACCTGACCAATCTTCTTATATATTTCTCCCTTCCTTGCAATCTGCAATATAGTCATATGTCTTACTCAGTGGTCCACACACACTTCCTGTTCTCCCATCTCTGGGCCTCTGTACAAGCTAATTCCTATGCCTCCTTCCTTGCCTTCACCACCAAGAAGCAATGGCTTCCCTCTTCAGCTCAAGTGTAACCTTCTACATGAAACTTCTTTAATCCCCCCACATGCTAATGAGTTCCCTCTTAAAAGTACCTACATCAGAGTGTAAGCTTTTTCAGGACAGGGACCATCTCAGTTTTGTCTGTGTATCCTCGCTGCTTAGAACAATGTCTGGTACATAGTAGTGAATGATTATTGATTGATTACAGCTAGCTGTTAGGAGCTAAATGTCAGTTGTTTCCCTTTAATAAAGTATAGGTGGTAGTGGTGGATAGCTGGAAACTTGAACCTGGGTTCAAGTCCTGCCTATCAAGAAACATAAAACACTACCACTAAATTAATATTTTTTTAAACCATTGAACCAAGATATTGAAAACATGTAACAAGCCAATATTATCTCCCTTTTGGGTCAAAATGTGTTCTTATAATATGAAAAAAATTCTACTAGTTTGTAATTCTATAAAGGATTTCTATTTATTATTTATATAAAGCTTTAAGTACTTTCAAAAGGGGGAACTATGCTCATTTGTAGTTAAAAACTACTTTCTGTCTCTCTGTGTACCTATATATTATTTTGTATTAGTTATGCATGTATCATTTTTCACTGCTAGATTTTAAGGTTCATGAAGGCAAGAGTTATGTCTTATCTAAACTTTGTAGTTCTCCCAGGACTCAGCAAAATGTTTTGCATATATTAGATGCTTAATAAATGCTTGTCAAATTGTTGTTAAATTGAAACAAAAACAAAAGAGAGCACTCCATCCAGCTCCTTGCTCCAATTTAAAAAAAGAAAAGAAAAATCAGTGTCAAGGACTTTTTTTTATTGTTTCACGAAATTGCCATGAAATCTGGAAAAAACAGTGATTGCCCTCCTATGCTGATTGCTGGAGAAACAGTGACTATTGTTAAAAAGCCTCTTGGGACTAAGTTCACCTAATAGGAACATCAAATAACAACCCCCAGATTGTACAAATAAGTAGTCATTGCTAGAATTCGTGGTGTTGGAGTGTTAGAAGTCCTGCATGCAGCCACTAGCCTTATTCTGTCTTCTGTAGTTCATGAATCTTACTGTTCACAATGGCGTCTCACTAGGATTGCTAATATAGGAAAAAGAAAACCCCAAATTGTATTTCAGCCTCATTATTGGTGGTGATTGGAAGGGAGAACAGAGAGAGGAGAGAAGCTGACAGTGCAAAGGGAACAAAAAGTCTTTGAATAAATATTGCATGCTTTCCATAGCCTTTGTGGTAATATTTGTACACATTGTAGTCACAATAAAGGGTTATTCCCACCCTTTGTACCATTAAAAGTATTTTTCCCCTAAAGCATAGTTTGTATTAATGAGCCAGTTTACTATTTGAGAAAGTACTATGCATGCTAAAATGTTTATTTAAATCTTCTTTGAAGAGGAAGTGGAATTCCTGACTCTCAGCAACCATGTCTCTTAAAAATGGTGTAAATTCTTATTCACTTACTGTTTTTTAGAAGCCTGACAGTAGATACAGAATTGACTTTTCACTTCTAATTCTGTATCTGTTGTCAAGCTTCACTGAATCATGTCAAGGATAGCAGAATGCAACATACCTAGTTTTGAATGCTTGTAGAACTCTTCCAGAAGAATTCCAGAGCGTTAAAAAAGTCTTTTTGGTGATGGAATTGCATAGAGATAAATAAGCCAGTTAAAGAAAGAAAAGGAAGCTTTTTTATTTTGCAGAAGGTTGACTAAAGAAACAATATACATCTATTAGCATTTTTATGCAAACTCAAGAGTTATTAAAAATAAAAGTGGGTTAGGATACATTTTACATTGAAGAGGCTAGACTTAATAATTTTTGTTATATTTCTTTAGATGGTTCATGAAATACCAGCATGTAGACCCTGAAGAAGCTGTAAGGATTCACATCGATGTTCAAGCAAAGAAATCTGTAGGAATTCACTGGGGAACCTTTGCCTTAGCAAATGAGGTGAGTTTGAATCTGTCATAAAAATAATTGCATATTTATTTAGCCTTTGATTTCCGTGCCTGAGTCTATTATGTTAGACCTCAGCAATGGTTGTTGTGACTGTTTTCATTGGGAGGAATCTGTAGGATCAAAAATGTATTCATTCATTTATCTAGCATTAACTGGGGAGAATTATTTTCACCTGAAATAAAGAGGGCTCTACTGCATTCAGCATTTTCAGCTTAACTTGGCAGTTAATGAAACTCTTGATCTTTTTAAGTAAAGTGGCACTGTGTGTGCTAAAAATCAGAAATTCATGTTATTGAAATTTCAAGTCTTGAAATTTCTTTTTATTTTCTTAGTTCCAACTCGGGGTTTTCTTCATTTCATTCCTTTTGATAAATTAATCAGTTCAAGTATAACCTTCTATATCAAACCCTTTCTGATTCCCCCACTTGCTAATGAGTTCCGTCTTAAAACATCACACCCCTGCTTGCAGTCTTCAGTAAAGTCTGTATGTCTTACTCACTGGTCCACACACACTTCCTGTTCTCCTATCTCTGGACCTCTGTACAGACTAGCTCCTATGCCTCCTTCCTTGCCTTCGCCACCAAGAAGCAATGGCTTCCCTCTTCAGCTCAAGCATAACCTTCTACATGAAACCTTTTCTGATCCCCCCACATGCTACTGAGTTCCCTCTTAAAACTACTTTAGTTAAAGTGATTTGTCGTTTAAATCTCTGCCCTTCTCTCTTTACTTTCTACTAAATTGTCATATTTTAGTCTTTGTGGAAATCTTCAAGTGGACGTTGCATGACCACTTGTTGGAGATGTTGTAGAGGTACTTGCTGGTCAGGTTTGGATGAGATTAGATAACCTTCAAGGTCCTTTCCAGTTCTAAGATTGTGCACTTATATCTGGAATCAAAATTCATATTTTCCTATTAATCTTTCCTTAGTTTTGTAGCTCTCTTTAAATGTATTTTAAACTTTTACAGAAAAAAACAACTAATTAGCAGCTTATATGGGGCAGAAGAAATCACTGTTAATACTAATGTGTTTCCTAACATATATGTACAAACCTTTATCTAACCCCTCATCTGAAAGATTTCCTTTTAGACTTTCCCACTTTATGTTTATTTTCATATTGGTCTGAAAAAATGCCAAAAAGGAGATCTTTTGAGTTATGTACAGTGTGTCCTGTATCCTAGTAAATAAGTAAAATAATATATCATAGAACCATAAAATCTTGGAGATTAGAAGAAGCTTTAGAAGTCATATAGTCTAATTGTTGAAACAGGAAGGTTGCCGGATAATAACTTACATTTATGTAGTACTGTAAAGTTTATGAAGCTCTTTCCTGGCAACAACGGTGTGAGATAGGTAGTACAAGTATAATTATTCCCATTTTAGGGATGAGGAATTTGAGAATTGGGATAAATAACCTGCTTAAAGTCATACAAATGGAAGGTTAGAACTAGAATTTGTGCTCCCAACATCAAGTCCTAGTGTGCAGATTTCACTTTAAATCAAAATGCCTTACAATGTCAGCCTGGTCTTGGTCAAGGAATGGGATACTTAACCACTTCATAGGGTATTCTGTTCTACTGCAGAGTAGGTATAATTGTTAGGAAATTTATCTTGATATAGAGCTGAAATCTGCCTTTCTATAACTAAGAAAAACTTAAAGTTCTAGAAAAAGTAGAAGTTAAGAATATACAGAATTCTATTAAGGCCATTTTGATCCTCAAAACTTTCCTCTCTGTTTTGCCACTCTTTCTCTAACTTCCAAGTCCTGGATCTGGATAGGGGAGGGGTAAGGTTAATATAACCCTACTGTCTTCTGCCAAAAAAAAAATATTCCATCATTAAGTGCCTAGTTTTCTCATACATGAACCAAAAAGCAAATCTGTGGTCACACTTAATGTCCTAATGTTATATTCTGGCGTTGATTCTTTCCCTTAAATGAAAGTGATTCTCTACAAAACCATTTCCTCTACAGAGCCACTTCCTACAGCATTGAGGCCTCACTAGATATATTACCTACTACCTCATATAACTTAATGATACACAACCTTATTTTGCACTGAATTTGAAATATGATGTTTCATTTGGATGAATGTCTTAAAAGTTGAAATGGATGGAGCAACTAGTGACTCATACCTGTATAATTCTCAACAACTAATGATTTAATCCAGCATAGGAAAAATGATTGAGATTTGCTATACATCTGTTGGATATTTTGGAACTATGGAATTTTGTACTCTTAGAGTTGGAAACAACTTTATAATGTTAAAATCCAACTTCCTGCTCATTGCAGGACTCTCCCTGCTCTCCCCATGCCTGGGAGGTCTTCTTGTATGTGAACTGAAAAACAAATTTGAGTCTACACTTAATGCCTTAATGTTATACTTCAAGCACTGTCTGCCTAAACACTGCTAGGTGGCTTACTGGATAGAGTACTGGACCTGGAGTCTGGAAAACCTGAGTTCAAATGTGACCTCAGATACTTGTTGGTTATGTGACCCTGGGCAAGTCATTTAACCTCTGCCTTAGTTTCCTCAACTGTAAAAAGGGGATCATAATAGCACCTACCTCCTAGGGTTCTTGTGATAAGTATAAAGAACCCTGTTGTCTATGGCTAAAGACTTCCCTCCAGGTTGACACTGATCTGTCTTTGGGTTGGATTTGTTTAACTAGTTATAAATACATTTAACTGTACTCTATATCTCTCTGACTTGTTGTGCAAGAAGATAATGAAGTACTTTGTCAAAAATATAGCTGAAATCAAGATATTCTGTTTATTGTTCTCTATTCCACAAATCCAATAATCCCAATTGATTAACAATTTCAGTGTTACTTATTGGACAAATGCTGGGTTTTAGTGATCACTGATCCCTTTTTTAAATGTCCCCAGACAATTTATTAAATAGTCCTTCCTAGACTTTTAGTGGGGATCCACACCCAGCTCCCTTTCCAGTTTCTGAAATCTACCTTTTTCTTCCTTTTGAAAATTAATACATTTGCATATCGCCAGAATCCTAGTACCTTTTCCATTCTTAATGATTTTTTTTAATATTGCTGCAATCACACCTGAAAATTTGGTACCTTTGGTTCCTTTCTGAATTTGGAATCAAGGCAAGAGTTTTATGGAGTTATGACAAATTTCTGTTTCTCAATCACTGCTGGACCCTCAGTGCTGCAGAGTCATTTTTTCATTCTTACCAGCTTGACTCTTTATTGCCCTCTTCACAATAGCCATTCCACACCTTCTCTCTTTAAGACTATTATGTGACCTCTTTACCCTTTCCTCTCAACAGTGAATCTAAAAGACTGCTCTACTGAGATGATATGAGCCAACTGTTTCAAGCTCCTGTTTTAACTGTATTTCAGAAATTCTTTTCGTCAGTTCCCTTTCTCTTAATTCAGTTCAACAAGGATTTTTTAAACCCTTACTATCTACATGACTTTATATAAGGAACACAGAGACAAGAATGTCCCTGCCCTCTGGGAGCTTACATTCTGTTGAAGGGAAACGACATGCACACAAATAAGAAAATTTAAAAAATATACAAAATAAATTAATTTGGGGGGTTGGGAAGAAACATTAACTGCAGTGAGTTGGAGGGTAGGAAAGTCCCTATGTAGGGACTCTTGAGATGACTCTTGAGGGAAACAGAGATTCTAAGAAGTAGAAATGGAAGGAGAGAATTCCTTACATCATAGAGGTAGGGGACAGATACATGGGAAACTAAAGTGGGACAATATGACCAGAACATAGAGTGAGAGAGTATGATGGAAAGTGCAACTGGAAAGAAAGGCTGGGGACAGGTGGTAAAAGACTTTAAATACCAGGGTACTTTCTATTTTATCCTAAAGGAAGTCCCTGAAAATTCTATTCCTTTGATCCTTTACTGTTTGAAATCAATACGTGCTTTCCTCATATTTGAGAATTTGTTCAAAGTGTCTGGCCAAAGACTTTGGAAATTGAAGAATGGGCAACAATATGGGGCAGAGAAACTTTTTGGGGTAGAGAAATGGAAGGACTTCTGTTCTAAACCAAATAACTTTAAATTCATCAGCTAAGGACCCTACTATAAAACCTCTAATGGCTTCTTATTATCTCTTGAATAAAGTACAGACTACCCAGCCTGGCATTTAAAGCTGTCCATATTCTTCCACCCACTTCCCTTTCCAGGACTATTTCATGTATTCCTTTGGTACTCTCAGTTTCAGCCATTTGCCTTGGCATAGGGGGTTCTCCCACGTCTCTAAGGCTTTCCTTCCTCAGTCCCACCTTATAGAAAACCTACCTTTTCTCCAAAGCACAGCTCAGCCTTTCTTGACTTGGATATTAACGTTTTTAGAGATATTTTCTGTCATGCCTACTGTATTTTGTCCTCCTTTCCATTTCATTCTTAAAAACCCTTGGGATAACTTTGCCTAGTTAGGTCTCTCACCAAGATTTCTTTGTACTCTTTTTTGTTTTGTTTGTTTTGTTTTGTTTTGTTTTGCGAGGCAATTGGGGTTATGTGACCTGCCCAGGGTCATACAGCTAGTAAGTGTCAAGTGTCTGAGGCCAGATTTGAACTCAGGTCCTGACTCTAGAGCTGATGCTGTATCCATTGTGCCACCCAGCTGCCCCTATACTGTTTTAAAAAATAACTTTGTATATATACTTTTTATCTGTACTTCTGTACATGTTCAGTTCCCCCTCCTCCCTTCCCACTTGCTTCTTAGTAGAATACAAACTCTCTGAGGGCAGGGGCTGTTTGGTTTTCATCTTTGTATACCAAGTGATTAGCACATAGTAGGTGCTAAATAAATTGAACTGAATTTAAAATGTCTACTTTCTCTGTGACATTATTGATTATTGCACAATCTACCTTGTCTACTTTCCATGACCCCATTTGGGGTTTTCTTGCCAAAGATACTGGAGTGGTTTGCCATTTCCTTTGAAAGCTCATTTTTACAGATGAGGAAACTGAGGCACAGAGGGTTAAGTGACTTGTCCAGGGTCACATAGCTAGTGTCTGAGGCTGAATTTGAACTCATGAAGATGAGTCTTCCCGATTCCAAGCCCAGGGCTTTGTCCACTGTTCCACTTAGTTGCCCCATAGTTAGAGCACTGGACTTGGAGTTATGAATTGTTGATGTTTAGTCATTTCACTCATGTCTGACTCTTCAGAGGTTTTCTTGGCCAAGATACTGGAGTGGTTTGCCATTTCTTTCTCCAGCTTATTTTACAGATGAGGAAATTGAGGCAAACAGGGTTAAGTGACTTGCCCAGGGTCATACAGTTATAAGTATCTGAGACCAGATTTGAACTCAGGTCTTCCCGACTTCAGGCTCTGCACTCTATCTGCCATGCCACCTAACTGCCCCAAGCATTGGCCCAACATTGGCTTAACACCCTAACCTTTCCTTCTACTTCTCTAAACATAAAGAGCTCATTTAGGTTCTTTAACCTTCTCATAATTAGTCTTATATATTTTGATTTATATTTTGTAGTCATCCTTGGCAATATGATCTTGTCTATTGTACATCTTTTTAAAAAATCTGGGCTCATCATAGAGTTCCCTTCCCAGCTACATTAATCTTTTAATTGCCATCCTTTCCTTTCCCTTTTCTTTCCTCAGGTTCATTTATGATTGTAGTGTCAGAATCCCATTTTTAGCTTCCCATCTCTTTTGAGTTGATTATAAAGTTATCAGGTCTCAGAACCATTTTAGGTTGAACTTTTGTTTGCAAATTTCAAATAATAAAAGTTGCTCATATAGCTTTAAAAGAATTTGTCTTTTTTCCTTTTAGTTCTTATTTTTTGATCATTTGTCTTTTTTTTTCTTCCTTTGACAGTATTACTTGGATCCTCCATTGAAACTGAATGAATCTCTAGAGAGGTATGGAATTAACAATGAAGATTTCTTCACCTTGAAGCATGGGGAATCAAGAGATGTAAAGACTGACAATGAAAACCTTGAATAAATGTGGATGATAAAGATTGAGAATAAATATAAATATCAGAGGGCTTTAAAAAAAAAGCAAAACCTCTTGCAGGATTTCAAATAGCAAAACAAATGTAAAAATTAAGAGATAAAGAAAGGGTGATTTTCTTTTAAATTTAGAAATAGAGCTCTCCATGTTTGCATTTTACTTTATTTATAATAATTTGCACAGGCTAGTTAATATATACATTGAAATATTATAGAGTGATAAAAATCATTAGATTGGGTAATGCATAGAATTTAAATGTTATCTGTCTAAAGCCAGAACACTGCAATGGTTTTTTTTTTTGTTTTGTTTTTTTTACTAATTTAAGGGAGTGATTCATAGGTTGGGTTCCTTTTCCAGGGGTTGTGAAAGATTCATTCCTATGCTTCAGGTCCTTTCTTTATATAAGGTGAATCAAAATTCATTGTATACCTATATATTTTAAGAGCTCTGATCAGTAATATAATCCCCCACCCCCACAATACTTTTGTTACTAAAGTCAACATGTATCTCCAGCTATGCTTTTTTTCAGCGTAAGTGTACAGGGATTTGGGTTCTGCTCTGCTTTTTGAACAAATTTTTTTTTGTTTTTTTAAATAGGGCTGTGGTTGCTCCAGTTGAATTAGGAGGGAAAAGGTACAGAATGTGGTAAAGAGAGGGGAATAAGAAAGCATTATCTTTGAGAACTTTTTTATTTCTAAAAATAAGATCTTTCGTTAAGCACAAATATATATGACCTGATACAGGTCTTGATAAAATGTATAAATAGACTGTAGTTTCACTTAAATTTGATCCTGTCCATTCACCAATCTCTCTAAAAAATACCCCTTAATATTCTTGCCTAAATTTTCCTTTTCATTGGTCTGTGTAGTATAATTCTAAAACTATCAATAAGGTTAATTTAAAAAAAATTAACTTAATGATTACTTTGTGTTAGATTAAATAACTTGCAATTAGATTTTGTTTCATTATAAACAAGGTTCTATATTATATATATTCACACTGCTCTGTGCTACAGTCTTACCTAAATAAATTTTCTGCATGTCACATTACTAGAATTGTACATTTTATGCCAAATGTTTGGTACTTCAGGGAGTAGCCAGTTAGTCAATAGCTTGATAAATCTGCATGTTATGTACAGAAGCACTGTGACTTGGTTACAAAGCACTGAATGTCTGAATTCAAGCCCTGCCTGGCTATACCATTGATCTTTTTTTCGTTTTTTTGGTAACTTCAAATAAGCCATCCATTCCTCCCCGTCCTCCGTTTCCCCATCTGTAATATGGAGATAAAACTTTTTACCTACCTTCCAGGCATACTGAGGAATAAATCTTAAATAATATTAAAAGTACTTTGAAAGCATACAAGAGAAAATTATTATTTAAGGTAGGTACATTTAAATATAGACCTAATGCCTCTGAAGATGTATCTTGCTAAATTTTTACCATACATATCAGAAAATGAAAGACTGAGGGTGACCTAACTCATCCATGTTGCATATTTGGAGAATAACAACCCACATGTAATTGCTGATGTTAAGCTTTAGTAAATTTTATTTTTTTGTTGTTTACAAAGATGCAAATAAATTGAAAAAGTTTTGTGTACTATTTTGACGCTAACAGCACAAAATTATCATCACATATTAAATTAGTTTTCCAGAGACAAAAGTGTACAAGTATGTACATCTTTAGTACAAAGTAAAATTGTATAGGAAGACAAGAATTAGAGCATGGTAATTTTACAGTAGTGGTGCTGATCCTACCTGCAAACTTCAGTAACCATGGACACCTAATACAAGCCAACATCTTGTCAGCCACTTTCCTGGCATTGTGTGAACTAAAAATTTAAAGATTACAAATGAAATCTGTCTACCATTTAAATTTACATTTTGCTTGAATATTTCTATTCCATAAGTCACCTTAACATTGTTTTTATATTTATAATAGCACCTTTTAAAAGATCTACAAGCACTTTAGAACATTCTAATCTATTAGATTAGCAAACTCGTTTTTATTTAGACTTTCTTATGAAAATGTTGTTACTGTGTCTTAACCGTTCTCACTTTTAAGACCTAACTGGATAGTGTTGTTGTTGTTTTTTTTTTTAAGTAATTAAAACATTGAGGATTCTGGTCCTAACTGTATAATGAAACACTTCTCTTCATTGAACTCCCTAAGGAATAACCAGTTTTATCTCTGACTCTTTTAACATTTCTTTTCCATTGTAATATTTGTCTTTTGCCATTCACACTTAGGAAGGCTTGCACAGTGATGAAAGTTTTCAAATCTGAAAAAGTGTGAAGGGTGAATGACAATAAATCAGGTATTTCCTTTTATTTGGAATAAAGGGAAGTACACTTTTTGGGTTCGATCTAACATCTACTTTCAGTCTGTCTATCCTAAAGTGAAGTCATAATGCACTTAGGTTTGTTAGAATGTTTATTAATTTTTTTTGTCATTTTTCCTCCAAAGTAAAAGACTCCCTTTCTCCTCAAGTATCATTCTTTATCTTCCTCAAAATTGTTGGTTTTAATAATTAGGAGGAAAATCCTACCTAATAAAAAAACCATAGTATTATTCAAGCTGTGCCATGACATCACCTAGCTCATGATATATATCATAGCCAGATAAAGTTTTCTTTCTGTATTACCATGCTATAACGTATCCTTGTAAACTCCACTCCCTATTTCCTATTAATATATATATATAGATAATATCCTAATTTCAAAAAAATACCAGGAATTGTAACAATAAATAGTTCCAATGAATGGGTTTGTCTGAGGCAGGGAGAGAATGAATGAAATGCAATCATGCAAACTGTTGGTAAAGGACATTAAAACCAAATGCCAGTTATGGTAAGTGCACATGTTGCTTGTATGTTTTCATTAACTATGGAACATTCAAGAAAATAGTTTTAAAATATTGTAAAGAAATGTGCCTTTAAAAAAAAAAAGAGATGTAATACATGTGATTGCATCACTATGTATAAAATTATAACTGCTGGCCAGAATGTGTACATTACTATTCTCTCCCGTCAGGAAGTCTATTTTTTACCTTATATAGTACTTTTCTATTGTAAATATGTTGTTATTTTTAAAGTGTGATTTGTGTCAACTTGCCTGAAAAATTCACATTTTTCTCTAATCATGGATTCTAGATTTTCTAGATGAAGCATTCTTATATCTATGTATTTTAAAAAATAAATTTGAAGTATTCTTTGGGCATTATAAGCACAAGGGGAAATAAAACTTATGTATTGGTTTCTGTATTGCTAAGCTTAATCTTAGATTATGAATATTAATACTATAAACCCACCTGAATATATCTGTATCAACTCATTGCCACAATAGCTTGTGAAAATAAACTTCTTACTACAAATGTGTTTAAATATTTTTTATATACTATAACTTCCTACTGGTACCATGGATTGGATATGAATGTAAATTCTTTGCCAATAGAGATTGCCATTTCTTTATATTTGAATTGCCAGTGCCTGGCATGGAAAAGGTACTGAATAAATGCTTATTGATTGATTAGAGGCACTGAAATTCTTAGAGAAATGTGTATACTTTTGAAAATGCAGCATAAAAAATGTTTTCACCTTTAATGAGGGTGGGCAACATTCTACCTGGAAACACCTGTCTATAATTTTTTCCTCAAAATATAAGCATTGCCAGAATAGTTTTTCAACAGGAGGTATTATGGGTGGTTTTCTCTCAAGCAATACTTCAATATTCATCTATTTTGATGTTGTCCAATGTTGCAGACAAATTTCTGCTCATCCTTGCAGCTCTTATCTGCCTTCCCCTTAATCCACCAGAGGTTCCACCCAGGGCTGGAAGGCTGCCTCATTTTCTCCTCATATTGTAAGGCTACTATGGAAGCCCTTGAGCTGTCTACTTGTCATCCCATACCCTTCCCACCTGACTGGTCCATCTTTTTCTATCACACATTTCTTTGATGAAATCTTTGCTTCTTTTCTCTAGAGCTCATTTATGGGTTGAAGCTTTCTCATTCCTACAGTGAGCCTGTGAGCCTTTCCTGCCAATCTGGGTGACAGTCATTTCAGTTTCTCCAGAGGCTTTGTTCCATGACTCACAGCTATATAAACACCACCGCTGCTACACTGGCATTGAAAAGATGGGCCTTTAATTTTAGTTATTTGGTACCAATAAAGGAGCTTTGCAAGTTCCTGAGGGCAACCCAGCCTGTCCCCTTTCATTTAATTCTATGCCAAACTTGTCCTTCTATACTGAGTCAGATATCTATTTCTATTCATGGACAAGCTCTACAAGTTATCCATCTAACTGCTTGTCATATACATTATTCATCTATGAAACAGTTATATTATCAGTGTGAGTTAAATGAGGGTACTTGTTAGACTTGACTATTTTAAAGTTTGATTTGTGCCAACTTGCCTGAAAAATTCACATTTTTCTCTAATCATGGATTCTAGATTTTCTAGATGAAGCATTCTTATATCTATGTATTTTAAAAAATAAATTTGAAGTATTCTTTGGGCATTATAAGCACAAGGGGAAATAAAACTTATGTATTGGTTTCTGTATTGCTAAGCTTAATCTTAGCCCTCTGCTGGCTGTCCTGAAAGGGGAAAAAATGTGTAAGATACAGTCATCAAGTTAGTTGGAAAGTCAAGACAATCACTTGTTCCTCTAAAATCAATTACACAGGCACAGGATGAGGTAAATGTGGTGTGCCTGCATGTTAATATTTCATTAAATTTAAATTAAAGCATTTATTAAGCACTTACCAGGCACCAGGTATTGTGCCAGGTTTGGAGCTACAAAGATAAAAATTAAGCAGGCCCTACTCTTTCAGAGATTTTGTTCTATTAGGGGAATTTACAATCTCTTGGAGGTGGGTATGGGGGAAAGACCTGGAAGGGGATATGTATGTGTGTGAATGGATTGTGCTATAAATTTGAATTAGTAACTTCATATGGCAATTAAAAGCAATCAATGGAGTCTTATCATTACTAGAAAGCATCCAGTAGGGTGAAAGTCCCATTGTATTCAATATGTAGAGTGGCCCATTTTAGAAAGATCTTTAATAAGTTGGAGAGTGTATTGGGAACCAGCATGATGTAAAGACACAAAACCACATTGAATGAAATCCATTGGAAGAAATGGGATTTTAGGTTGGTGAATATTTGGGTAAGGGAGAAAATATCATAGCTTTCTTAAAATAAACGAGGACTGCCCTATGCAAGTCATTATGGTTGGTTTTATATTTGGTCATGGAGAGAAGAGCTAGGGTCAATGAGTGCCAAGTCAGAGTCATATTTTGGCTCAATAAAAGGAAAATCTAACTACCAAATAGTAAGAAAATGGAATGGCCTGCATAACTAATTTAATGAGGATGACAAGAAAACAGAAAACTAGTTCAAAGAGAAGACAGATCACTGGGGGAGGACATAAATACATATATACATCTTTATCAGACCTGGGATTTCACTAGTAAAGGGAATTCCGGGTAAGAAAACTCCCTCTTCCGGTCCAGATCAGATCTTGGCTCTGCATCTCAGTCTTGGAGAACTGCCAGAGGCACTGAGAGGTTAAGTCTGGATATAACAAGTCATAGCAAGTATTTGTCACCCTTAAAAATTATTTCCCTGCTTGACAACAGTTCCATCCATACTGCCATACGGCCTTCTAAAACTGGAATACATTTATCACTCTTTGGACTAGAAAACACATGATCCCTGATTGTGGAAAAGTATCTTTTCCAAGGCTGTTTTTTGCTTCACCTTGGATTTAAACTCACAGGGAACCTGCAGGTATGTACTGTTTTGCCAAATTAAAACTGGACTACTGCATATTGGTGGTTATTACAATGTCATGAGAATTCCCAGAGATACACACAGGCTCCTTTTCACTAGAGTAGTTGTGCCAAAATTTACTTAGGGCTTTTCAAGTTTAAAACCTTCCAGAGGGCTTTTTCCAAGGTTCTAAGAAACCTTCCTCCATCTCTGTCATTCTACTTTTTAAAATAGTTGATTCATAATTGTTGTTGTTCAATTGTTCAGTTATGTTCAGCTCTTTATGACCCCACAGGACATACTGTCCACAGGGCTTTCTTGTCAAGATAACTGGAATGGGTTTGCCATTTCCTTCTCTATTGGAACCGAGGTTAAGTGGCTTGCCTAGGGTCACACAGATGGTGTCTGAGGCTGGATTTGAATTCAGGTCTTCCTGACTCTAGGCCCAGTGCTCTATCCACTGCGCCACCAAATTGCCTCTAGTTAATTCAATAAATATGTACAAATGTTATTCTAAGTCCCTAAACCAGTATGAAGAATTTTTAAACTCAAACCTTTAAAATGGAAACAAGTTTAAAAAAAAAAAGCACTACTGTCACTGAAACTCAATTTCAGAAAGATTTTGATACATGAGACATCAAATGAGCCCCTAAAAGTTTATTTGGTTGAGATTTTCCCAGTGTCATTTAACATGCCTTACAATAACCTTTAATGAACAAAATGTCTTTTTATAAAGAGAAAAGGTGAGTTATGTACAGTACAAATACTACTTACTAACTTTAATAATCACTTTAGAGTCCTTTGCTTAAAAAATACAATTCATTAAAATAGCATACTCCAAAATGAAAGCACATGGTACATACTTAGAAAAATCCATTTCATTTATCAGACAGAACTAAGATGACTCACTGTTCAGTTAAACCAACTCAATTTTCCTGTCCTACTTCAACTGTAAGATCCTAGATAGGGAACTGAAAGAGACCTCACAGATCCAACTCCTCTGCTTTTCAGATGAGGAAACGGAGCCCCGAGTGACTGGCCAAGGCCATGCAGGGAGTAGATGACAAAGCAGGGATGATACTCAGGTCCTCTGACTCCAATCTGTTCTCTGTCAAGTCCCATGTATTAGTATAACACTTTTAAAGTATCTTCCTATCAATTAATTTGATTCTTGAAATAACCCTGCAGAAATTGGAGCAAATTTATCCCTATTCTGCAAATAAGGCTTATCAGAGAGGTGAAGTGATTTGTCTCCAGTTCAAATCCTGACACTTCGGTGGAAGATACTGAAATCCAGGTCTATACTAGATACAGATTAAGACTATCCTTAGGCTATGTTATAATACAGCAAAATACTGAAGGGACTAGACACAGGGGTGATTTTATTCATTTTGAGAATAAAACTTACATCACAGATTACTGGTCACATTTGTTTTTGCACATTAGTTAAAGTGACTTTATTCTGCTGGTTTTATGAAAGCTATTTTAATTTTAAATACTGTGATACATTTTAAAAAATTACTCTGTAGCTTTCACACATCAAAATTCCCAGAGTTCTAAAAAAAGTTCTGTAGTGTTCACTTGAACTAAAAGGCAACCAAAAAATTCTCAATTAATTTGAATTAAGGATATTTTAACAAACTCGGACATTTTAGCCCACAATAATTTTTTCAATTTTTCAAGGATTCAAATGTAAAATCATCACAGATTTCTCTTTGGGTGATGAACTCATGCCACACTATCAAGAGCTGATGAATCTGAATTAGCTCTCTAGGACAGAAGTCCTCAAGGGCTTCATTAGTGTCTAAGACCAAACTCTCAAGGTCTCTCTTAAGAACTTTGAAACTGATAGTGTGACATGGGAGACACTGGCACAGGACTGTTCAGCATGGCGTGCCCTCATCAGAAAAGGTGCTGTGCTCTATGAGCAAAGCAGAATTGAAGTAGCTCAAAACAAATGCGAGGTGTACAAATTTAGAGAACCCACTCCAAATGTTCATATGGACTATTTGTGGTAGAACATTCTGAGCTTGTATTGGTCTGATGAGCCACAGTTGGATACACTGTAATCTGACTCTAACATAGTGGTCATTTTGGTCCTCTTCTTTTTTTCTTTTTTTGCTTAGGCAGTTGGGGTTAAGTTACTTGCCTTGGGTCACACAGCTAGTAAGTGTCAAGTGTTTTGTCTGAGGCCAAATTTGAACTCAGGTCCTCCTGCCTTCAGAGTCGGTGCTCTATCCACTGTGCCACCTAGCTGCCCCAGTCCTCTTCGAGAATGAAGGACAATAACCAACCTCCAGACCAGCAAGTCAGAAAGAATTTTCCAAGTATCTTCAGGTTCCTTGCTTCAGCGCATACTGTATGACTGATGGATCCCATCCTTCTAGTTTTATTTTACTGCTCAAAGGTATGAGAAATCCTAGAAATCTTTATAGATTCTACTTCTTCCCCTTGGTAACAGTAAATGGCAAAGAGACTATATGATCAAACAGCTGATCAGAACCTTAGTTTTATTTTTGCAAAAACAGGAACAACATTCCTAAATGAATTTTCTCTCTCTGCCCCGAGGCTCTACAGCCACCATTGTAATTTAGGGGGTAAGAGTACCAAAGTATGGAACAAGATAAAAGTGTCAAAAACACTTGTCTTGCTCACAGACTGCAACACTGAGTTATTCCTTATGGTGTGGAGTTGGGTTTTTTTTTTTTAAACACAAGGCCAATCAAAGTATGGTGAATATTTTTGCAACTTTCTCTTTCACATCGACATCATGGTGATATGTTAAGGATAGCAGTTTCTTAGTACACTCTGTAGATTCTCCATAGAGCAAAGAGAAAAGAGAACTGTTATTAAATTGATGCCAGGCAAATGCATTGTCTTTCTGCTTTATACTGTCTTTTAAATTTGCAAAGAGTGTAAGGACACGAAGAAGAATTTCCTTCTCCATGTTTCCATCAAAGAGGGAAATCAGTGATGATGGGACCTAAAAAAAATGAAATAATTATTACTTTCTAAAATCAAAATTTAGGATTCTAATATACAATCATATTTTTATATATCCTGGTATGAAGTGATTATATTACAGTACTTTAAATTTTACTAAGAAAACTGGAAATAGTTTTCTACTCAATTCATAAGAAAATCTTTTTATACATATTTGTGACTAATGGTAGTCATCTCCAGGGTAGTCATTTCCTTTCCCCACAAAGGAAAGGAAAAAAAAAGGAAAGAAAAAAGAAATTTACATGATAACTTTATGTTGTACATAACAGATTTGCAGTTTCATGTGCAATCATCTTTTTTTTAAATACTGTGTTACAGAAATGCTTGTTTTATTCCATAAATTAAAAATGGAAAAGAAGAAAATCTTTTTATGATATGATTCCTCAGATATCTGTGCAAAATCTTCCAGGGAATTCACATTTGGAAAAGAGGGGCTTGACATTGAACTTTAAAATGCTGTATGCTCTGAATATCAGGATGTGGCTTAATTTTTTGGGGTGGGGGAATACATGCTGTTTTAAAATACCTAATGCACAGTTTCTTTTTGAAAAATTCATCATTGTGTGAACTAGAAGAAGAGGTTTTATGAAAATATTTTGTGTCATAAAACTCATAGTGAAAAAATTAAATTTTATCCTATGTGCATTAAACTATTAACACAAGCTTCCTTCAGGAATTATGAAATGGCATGACTAAATGCAATTTCATACATATACTTTATTCTTCAAAACAATAGCTTTCCTATACTTATTCACAGAATGGCCTGAGATTTCAGTATTACAGTTATTTTTCAGTTGATCAATATTGATTGATTTCATTATCTAATAGCTTCCTGGTGATTAAATACATATCTTCTACAGAGCTTAAAACAATAAGTATATAAAATATTTACCTGCACACTGAGAAGTTCTTTTGTCATAGATGGATTTGCCGACAAATTCAAAAGCACTTTTAAAGTCTGGATCTGAAATGAGAATACTTTTTAATCAATTATAGACAGCTGAGCTTTAAAGGAATAGGAAGGAAAATTATAAACTATATAAAAATGAGGAACATAATAAGTATAGATCTATAACACAGTCAGCTTCCCATGAACATAACCTGAGACTAGCAACATATTCTTGTATGTTAGCTAAGTAGGATGATGGCATTTTTCGAGTTAAAATAGTTTAGCCGAGATATTAGCTATAAATAGCTTAAATATGAAGTGGTTAGTAACCCCTCATTTTATATACACAGGAAAACTTAGGCTCAAAGAATTTAAACATTTTCCTTAAATTGATACGGCTATTGGCAGAACCAGGACAGGCACCCCATCTCTTACTCTAACTCTTTAAAAGTCTTCCATTTGCTTTAAGCATGAATAGTTACTGTACATGATACGAACAGAATTCATGTGCTTACATGCTCTGACCTATTTTGAAAATTTAGCTTCATTCCAACAACGGTCTAACATTACAAGAGTAAATTAACCATACCTATGTGAAGTTCAGAAAACGGGGGTTACACTCCAGAATGCACACAGAATGCCCACAGAATACTTACTAGCTAAATTAGCATCAAGCTACAAGGTCATAATTTCTTTTCATGGAAAACAGGACACATCCCTGGACTATCACAGAATTTTGCAATAAGAGACTCACAAAAGTGTTTATTATTTCCTATACTAGTGAAAACAGTGAGGACCAAAACCAAACCTCTAAGAATATTTCTATCTTAAGAATCAGTACTGAAACCTAAAGTGGGAGGATACTTTCCCTTAATCAATGATGGACGCACACTGAGAAATTCTTACTGCTTAATTTTCCTTTTTAAACATTCCTTATTATTAATTTCCAAAAACTTTGGTCATGACAGCACTCCTTGAATAACAGATGAGATAATTTCTAAAACTAAAATGCACATTTAAGGCATGTAAGATAAATGAGAAGTTGATGCCTTTATTTATGTATTGGTGAGGAAAATTAATGCTAGATCCCTGAGGTTTAAGCCAACATAATCCTATCAAGTAGCAGTTAACAAGTATTTCACAGTAGGTTACTTCTGCAGATGGCAAATCCCACCCCCTTTATATTCATTCTCACTAGCTATAATTTCAGAAGATGACATTTTCTATCTTGTCCCCAGATTACAGGAGTATAACCTACTTAGAGCCAATATTGCCCATCATGCATTAACTATATCAACCCAACCTTTGTACCTGTATGTTTCACTATTCTCTTTACATGAAACCTCACTCCAGTCAGACTGGTTGTCATCTTCTTATTCGTATAGCTTGCCCTGGAGGCCCTTCCATTTCTACCAATCACAATTTTAATAATTATTTAAATGCTAGCTCTAATTCCCTCTTCTCTGAACAACCTTCCCTGATTCTTCCTGGCTGGAAGTGTGGTCTTCCCGTCCTGTGGATTCTGATACCACCAGCACATTACTATTTCAATACTTCATTGATTTGTGATTTTCTCAGCTTGGATAGTCCCTCTACTAACTCAGAATGCAATCTCTTTAAGATAACTTAGCAGACACTCTTTGAGTATCTATGGCTGAAAAAAATCATCACTATGAAGCTAACTTGGTGAAAAGACTCTGAATTTAGCTAGACTGGTCCTCGGATAACAGATAGGCTGGACTTTTGTGGAAGCAGAGCATTATACATATACAAGCCATGGGATCTTACGTAAATTACTCATTCTTTGAGCCTCTGTTCCTCTATGCAAAACCCTGCCTTACCTATTGCACAGGATTGCTGTAAAGATCAGAGGAGAGAAAGTACAGTCAAGTACTCGGAAAATTCTAAGAGCTCTAAAGAATGAAAGGGGTTATTATTATCTTACTGACCAAACTAGGTTGTCAGCCCCTGGAGGGCAGGGAATACATCTTGAAGCATTCTTTGTATTCTCCCCAGCATCTACCTAGCCCAGTGTCTTGAAATAAATATGTGCGATGAACGGAATTGATCTCACTGTATAAACAAACACTGTCAAAACAAATTTACTTTTTAAAAAAGTAAATTAATTTTATCAATGCTAGTGTTAACTAAAATGGGATCCTAGGCACAGAGCCTTCTTAGCCTTCCTTCAAAATACACAGTTCCAAAGAGAAGCGACCTGATGTAAAAACAAGACTCCAAAATGAGCTTTAACAGATGAAACAGGTGGGAAAGAAGTAATGAACATTTTTTCCTCTAATTTCAATTTTTTTTCCTATTTATTCATTCATTTATTTATAACATTCATTTTTTTAAATTTTGGGTTCCAAATTCTCTCTTTCTCCAGCCCTTCCCCACCCCATTGAGAGGCAAGCAATATACCCAATAATGGGCATTTTATTAACAATCTGGTACCTAATTTTATATGTAGCTTTTATTACCTGCTAAGCAATGCTACCTTAGAAGCAGGATGGCAAAGAGGATAATAATAAAAATAATGATGATGATGATGATGATGATGATGATAAGCTAACACAAAGCACTTCAAGGTTTAGGACATTTCATATGTTACCTTATTTGATCCTCAAGGCAACCCTGTGAAGTAGATATTATGACTATCCTCCTTTTATAGATGGGGAGACTGATGCTGAGAGGCTAAGTGATTTGTGGAGGCACATATAGCTCATAAGTGTCTGAGGCAGGATTTGAATGTTGGTCTTTCTGACTTCATGTCCAGAGCTCTCTCCACTAAACAGCCTAATTGCTTTGGCGTGGAGTCAGAAAGACCCACATTCAAATCCTGCCTCAGACACTTATGAGACATATGACCCTGCACAAATAACTCAACCTTGCCCGAGCATCAGATTCCTCATCTGTAAACGAGGTGGCTGGATGGGATGATTTTTAAGGTTTCTTCTTGCTCCAACTCTGTGATCTAATGATCCTACAAATTTACAAAAAGATCACAAGAATTATCAGTACTTGAGGAGCAGACAGGATTTTTAAGTAATGTATTCATTTAATATCTGTAATTTTAATTCAGCTGTTTGGGCCTGTAGACTAAATAATTCTATTTTTTGTTTTGTTTTTCAGTAGACTATAACGTACCTTTGAAAAGGTATCTATTTACATGAAAACCTTTCACAACCACTTTGCAAAATACTTTAACTTGAATTTTTAAACATACCCAGAGATCCCATTCCTAAGCATATACCCTAAGGAACGCAAAGACAGGAAGAAAGGTTTGATAAACAGCAAAATAGTTATAACAACATACTTTGTTGTAACAAGGAAATGGAAACAGAGTAGATGCCACATTGACAAGGGAATGGAACATCAAATTATGGCACATGAATGTGACAGAATTTTACTATGTGCTAAGAAATGATAAATATAGGAAGGGATAGGAAGACATAAACTGCGGGCAAGAGAAAAAAGAAGAAACAGGAAAACAATATGCATAATAACTACAATAATGTTAATGGTAAGAAATATAAAAAGTGAACCTAAACATGGTATAATTAGATTGACTAACTTGGTTGGAAGGAAGAGAGAAGAGAATTTACCACTTTCCTTCTTTCCAGAAGTCAGGAGATAATGGGTGTGGAGCAATATATATATTCCATCAGACTAGATTTATGTGTTGGTTAGTTTTGCTAAACAGCGTTTTTTCCCTCTATTTCTTTTTTATTGTTTATGCTAAGGGATGGCTCTCTAGGCAAGGAGTGGGGCAGAGATATCTGAGGACATAAAACTGACATAAAAACCATAGCTATCAGTAAGTTTCTTATTTATGGAACCTAAATATCAACTTTCTCATTGCTTATGTAACCCTAGAAGGATAAAAATATTCAAATTAGATGCTCCTTTGAAACAAACCCCACTTAAATTCACCTGTTTAAATGAGTTACTTGAACTACAGAAATCTGGGAGCCAGGAGGAACTACTGGTGCCATGACAAAGCAATAATGTTTTGTGGGTTAGAACACAAGACGTGAGGAAAAAGAGCTTTTTACAAATCTATCCTTGTATAAGTTAATCATATCCAACAATAAAAAATGGCAGACTGGTCGTCTTTCTACCTTTGAAACTGTGGAAGTTTAAGAAGAAATGATTTAAGGAAAGATAATTCTTTCTAGAGACCTTCCCTGGCACAATTCCCCTCCTGCTAACATTAAGTACCTGTTTCAGGGGGAAAAAAAATGTCTTTGACATCAGTTAATTATCATACTTTGGGGAAAACAGTGGCAAAAGTTTATAAAATATGATAAGGAATGGTTCTGTTCATGTGAAGCAAACCTGAGTCACAAAAGATTTTTTTAAAAAATTACTCTTATGGATGGATTACGGATTAGGCTTTCTTTTGCACAAATCAAGGAATCAAAGCAAGAATGGCATACTGAAAAAAGTTCTTGATTTGCAGTCAGCAGACCTCAGTTTGAGTCCTCGCTCTGTTACTACTACCTGTCTGATTTTGAAAAGTGCCTTCCCCTCCTGAGTCCTCCATTTCCTCATCGGTAACATAGAGTTGGACTAGATAATCTCTGTTTACTTCAAGAGTTAAATCTATGATCCCAAGACCAGCATAGAGAGACTATTTGATCAGGGAGACAACAACTATGATATCACATGGGTCACCTTATGTAACACATAGTTCTAAAAAACTGACACAGCTGTATGATACAGAAATAACAGCTATAAATAGTACCAACGTCATAAGACCAGATAATACATGACACAGTGGAAAGGGCAGTGACCTGAGAGTCAAAAGAGCTGAATTCCAGTCCCACTTCAATCTCTTTTGTCACCCTGGGCAAATCACTTCTCTTGGCTACTTCCCTTAATGGCTAAATTGAAAAGAATGGTCTGTAAGGTCCCTCTTGGCTTTACCATTCATGAAGTACCATCATCTTAGTATGAAGCCTAGTATGAACTTCCAGGCTTTTGGGTGGGTTCTTGACTGGCAAAAAGTGCCATCTTGTAGTAATGGAAGGTTATTTTAAGGATGGTTATTTTAAGCATTAGGAATTTCAATTTTCCTTTTGTACACATCACATAAACACTTGGTATTTTTATTCCAATGATGGTAACATGGGCTACTAGTAAGGTTTTTATTACCCAAGAGAAACAGTATCATAGGTCCAATGGGGAAAATTTATCTAACATTCTAGTGGTTGTTTGCCCAACAACTAGGTATCCAACTCAGTGTTTATGAAAGAAGCTATATTCCAAGAGGTCATTTGCAAATTAGCTATTTGAAACTCAGAACGTAATTTTTCCCCTGCAGAAATGTTAGAAAATGAGGTTTGGTTCCAAAACAGACCTCACAAGACAATTCCCTTGCCTTACTGTGGCACTGAGGTCCTTGAAGGCAATGCCAGCAGAGTACAAATTCTGGCAGGAACATAATCTTGGCAAGAGCCTGTGCCTACCTAACTACATTTGGAGAGGCTCATTACCAGAAGGTTGGCCAACAAGTAATGATTTTTTTTGGCTAGTGACTCACGACAGATTTAAACTTGCAATAAAGTAAGTACAAAGAAATACTGTGCTATCAACTTTGTCTTTCATAATCATAAAAGGTTACATAGTGTTCAGTGTCCTTGGCCTAAATGGCCTGAACACGGATCCAAAGAGAAAAGGGCGTTTAGGACGACAGAAGATGGTTAAATAGGTCTGAACAAAAATGTACTGTCCCTGGTATGATGAAGAAAGGTGTGAGATTGGGGGTAGAGGGATGAATCTTTGTAGCTATTCAGGCAGCTACCTGAGTCACCAGCTGAGCAGACAGGTAAGAGCCAAAGCCGATAGCAGAAGGCAAAATAATTTGAGAGGGAGAGGAGAGGGGAAGAGAGGATCAAAGGATCTAGAAGGGACTTGGATCATTTGGTCCAAGAGCAGCAGAACCAGCATTTGAACCTGGGCCCAAAAAGAGCTTCTCAAAGGGCCACTGCAGTTGACAGAGAACCAGCAGGGATGCTCAAGTTGTAATGTACAAGGGCAAGCAGGAAGAAGGGGAGGAAAAGGAAGGAGTTTCTCATATGTTTGGAGCAGCTAATGAGATTGTCAGGGCTGCCGTATCAGTGACAGAGAAGGGGAAAGGGAAAGAGGCAACAAGAGTGTTAGGGAACAGGAAGAGGGAACTAGGGAAAGTGAGAAAGTGGTAAAGATGGAAAGGCCAGGCTGGTGTGGCCACTCTTATCTGTGACATGTGTAAAAACTACCTGTACTTCAGAGCTTAGTTGCATCTAAGCATGGGTGGTGGGTCTGTTTAAGATCCTATCCAAGAGGATTCATCTATGCAAAGCATTAAAAATGCTTTACGATAATGACCTGGTCTCATCCATAAATCATCTTGAAGACAATATCCAGGAATCTCAGAAGTGACCCACACTTGCATAAAGAAATCCTTCTACAACATAACTGTCAGGTGACTAGTTTCTGTGTGAGGGAGAAACTCATCAATCCCTGAGGAGGCGGATACCACTTCCACATAGCTCCAAATGTTAGAAAGGTCCTCCTGACGTTACACCCAAATTTGCTAGGTAGTGGCTGTCACCCATCCAACTTCTGGAGTTAAATGAAGATGACAGTCATTCAAAAATCTGAAGGTGCCTATCAGGTCCCGTTCTATTTCCCTTATTCTTGAGGGTAAAAACCCTCAGTTCCTTCAAACACTCCTTAAGAAGCACGATCTCAAGGTCTGTTATCATTTGGTTGCCCTTCAGTTCCCCAATATGTTTTTTACATATATGGTGCCCAGAAATGCATACAATACTCCTAATGTGGTCTGACCAAAGCAGTATGTCAGGGGTCTATCACCTCTTTATTCCTTCATGTTCTACCGCTCTTAATTCAGCCTAAGTTCTCATTAGCATTCTTGGCTGTTTAATCAGATGGCTGACTCACAGTGAACTTTCACACCACTAAAACCCCCATATCTCTAACCATGCTTACTCTATGTTGACTTGTGAAGTCAATTTTTTTAAGCCAAGTGTAGAACTTGACATTTATCCTTCATAATTTACATTTTATTCCATTTAGTTTTAAGTTCTAGCCTATCAGGGTCTTTCTGAATCCTAACTTTGCCATCCACGGTTTTCAGTTTCTTCCAGCTTTGTGCCATCTTCCTATTTGATAGGAATGCCATCTCTACTTTTATCCAACTTAGTGATAAAAATGTCAAAAGACCCAAAGGCAATCATGGATCCCTAGGGCATTCCAATGAGGAGCTTATCCAAGCTGTCAGTCAACCAGTTCTGAATTTACTTCGTTGCATTTCCGTCTATCCCATGTCTTTCCATTCTGCTCAAAAAAGAACAATGCAGGGGGCAGCTAGGTGGCGCAGTGGATACAGCCCCAGCCCTGGAGTCAGGAGGACCTGAGTACAAGTCACTTAGCCCCAAATGCCTCACTAAAAAAAAAACAAAAAACAAAAAAAAAAACAACAAAAAACAATGCATGCATGAAACTTTAATTTGGACCAGTGAAACCAACAATCTACAGGTGAGGAAATGAAATCTCAATTAAGATAAGCAAGAGGTTGATTATAAAAATAAGAGTTACGTACCTTGGTGTTTTCATTTCCCATAGATAACAAATCAAAGAGGTCTGAAATTGAATTGGCAAGTAAGTGCTGATAGTCATTGGTGACTGTCATGTTTGTTAGCAATCTCAGGCCAGCCAACTGTACATCTGAATTCAAGGGAGAGGAGATGGTCTCCTCACAGATTTGGCTGATGTATACCTGAAGAAAAGAAAGAAAAAACGACATATACCACTGAATTTCATCTAGAATGAAATAAAATCAGGCAAAGGCAGAAGCTTTCTCAAGTATCTGCATAATATGTCCTCCTTACTGTGTAGAGTTCCTTAAGTGAAGAATCCCCAAAGCCTTGTTATGGTAAACAAAAAGTGGGCAAAATAGGGCCGACTTCTTTCCAAAGTTAGCTTTTTCAGGGATAAAAGGAGGAAAAACCAAGTATTCTTTTAATTCACTCAGTGATGTGGGATGTAGGTTAGGTTAACACAGCCTCAAAATATTGCTATTAGCAAAAAAAAGCAGCTCGAGGCCTATCAAATTTTCTGAAAGAATCCAAAATTATCCTGACAATCTGTTCTATTCTATAAACAATTAAATTATACCCAGAATGAACTTAAAAGGCAAACTTCCTACAGTAGAAAGATTTCTAAGACTCTAATATTTTTGTGCTTTACATAGAGGTCCAGTCTAAAAAAATTTTTATAAAGAACATTAATAAGCTGGAATGCATTCAAAGGAAACATATCAAGATAGCAAGAGGGCCTGAATCTATTCATAGAAGGTTATATTGGGAGGATCTGGCTTTCATAAATAGGTTCAAGAGAAATCTTCAAAGTATTTAAATGGCACTGAAAGACTAAGAGATCCTACAGCTAGGCCTATACCTCAAGAAAGTCAAAGACAGAAACACATATTCTGTACATGACAAAATGTTCACAGCATTTCTTGTTGTAGCAAAGAACTGCAAATAAAGTAGGAGCATATCTATTTGAGATTGGCTAGACAGACTATTAAATGAACACAAAGGAGTACTGTAATATGAGAATTCAGAGAAACATTGGAAAATTTACGTAAACTGATGCTGAGTGAAGTAAGCACAATTAGGAAAAGAATATACACAATGACAACAACATAAATGAAAGGAATAATAAAACAAAGTGGAACATTATCTAATTATAAAAAATCTTGGCCACAGAAAAGGGATGAGTAAATACATCTGGTGTGTGTTGTCAGATGTGGTCAGTATGTAAATTTTGCTTAATGAATTTTTGCCCCTTTGTTACAAAGGAAGGCTCAAGGTGGAGGGGGGAGGGGGATATATGGAAATGACAGTCATGTGAAAACAAAGGCATTAATAAGTTCTTTTGGATAATAGAAGGGGAAAAAGTAAAGGAGTTTTGATGGAGAAGGGTCACAAATCTAGATTTGGAAGGGACTTTAGAGGTCATCTAGTCCAATCCCCCTCATTTAACAAATGAGGGGTTGAGGCCTGGAGTTACCATGTTATGAAGGTATCAGGGGAATAAGCGGCAAAGCTGGGTTTAAACTCAGGGTTCCCAATTCTCAATCCTTTGTTCTTTTTACAGGAGGATTACACTTGAAGTTTGGACCCAGAGGACAGAGCAAAAAGAAATGGGAAATTGCAGACAGGCAGGTTTCCAGTCAATAGAAGGAAAACTGCTCTAACAGAGCTGGCCAAAACTAAAATGGGCTACCTCAGAGGATACTGAAGCCTCCATCAATGGAATTCTCAAGCAAATCATTTACTAGAGATGTTATAGAGGGTATTTTTGTTCAAATATGAGTCAGACTAGATCACCTCAGAGGTAATTAAATATTTCTATGGGATTTGAGAAGATAGAGATTATTTACTTCAACCTTCCCATACTAAAGCCTTGAAGCGTTAAAGGATTCCTCCAGATTAGCATAGCTAATTAGTGGTCTACAGGACCCATGTCTCCAGTCTGGTGCTTCTGCTACCATACCACATTGCCTCAAATACCAAAAACCTCAAGAAATTTTATTTATGGGCCCATTGTATTTCATTACAGCGCTACACCATATCGGTTATCTTCAAAACCTGAGGGCCTCTCATCCTTTATAACTGATATATAACACACTTCTCTAGAATTCTGGGGTTCACATACAGTTTTTAAAAGATTTTCCCCCAAATCTTTAAAAATGTGATCTATATAATTTTTATTACTTCCAAATCCCTTATTTCTCAATATCTGTAAAGATCAACTTTAAAATAAAGTAACCCACATATATTTTCAATTATTATTATTCAAATAATTATTTGTTTCTCTTTAAGCAAGTAGCTCTCTAATTCATTGTCTTTCTGGCGTCCTTCCCTAACCCTGGGTTAGTTTACCATCATAGGTAGATCACTCTGTAACTCAACTAGGAGCATTCTCTAGGCTCTGAGATGATACTTGGTTCCATCCATCCGCCAGCCCATTCTCCAAAGGGTTCTTTTTGACTCTCTATAGGTAAAGTAGGGGCAGCTAGGTGGCACAGTGGAAAGAGCTCCAGCCTTGGAGTCAGGAGGACCTGAGTTCGAAACTGGCCTCAGACACATTACACTCACTAGCTGTGTGACCTTGGGCAAGTTGCTTAACCCCAGCTGCCTCACCAAAAAAAACTTTGGGGCAGCTAGGTGGCGGAGTGGATACAGCACTGGCCCCGGATTCAGGAGGACCTGAGTTTAAATCCAGCCTCAGACACATAATACTTACTTAGCTGTGTGACCTTGGGCAAGTCACTTAACCCCACTGCCTAACCAAAAAAAAAAAAAGAAAAAAAGAAAAGAAAAAAAAAGAAAGGTAAAGTACCTCATTATACAGTTAAGTAAAAGCTTGTGGATTATGATTTCCCAATAAAATTACACAATTTATTTTTAATGGCCTTTTAACCTTTTATAATTAATTTTCCTTGTGTTTTAATGTCACTCACCTTAATTTCCTTCTGATTCTGAATATTCATACTTAAGTTATTTAGTGCATTTAAAGCCTTCTCTTTAACTTTGGGGTTGGGATCTTTCAGTATGTTTTCAATAACTAAGAGACCATCCAAATTACGAATAATATCCTAAAAGGAAGAAAATAAGATTATGCTTTCACCATTTTTGTTTTTTATATTTAGCTCCTTTATTCCCAATTTTTGGATTTTATCTAACTTTTCAGTTCCCCCAGGCAACTATTAGGAGTTTCCTATACCAACGAAATCACAGGCACAGGTAAAAGAAAGAATTCAAATGATTGGGCAAGCTGGGTGAAGCAGTGGCTAGAACACTGGGCCTGGAGTCAGGAAGACCTGATTTCAAATCGTGTCTCACACAGGACAAAAGCTACATGACCTTGGACAAGTGACTTAACCTCTGTTTGCCACATTTTCCTCAACTGTAAAATGGAGAGAATAATCTCCCAGGGTTGATGATCAGATGAGATAATTGTAAAGTGCTTTGCTCAGTGCCTGGCAGTATTTCAATGTTAGCTATTAAGTGATTGTTCTAATACAGGACAAACAATTTTCCATAGTTATCTATACCATGTTATCCTTCAAAACACTGCAGTGGAATATAAAGTCGATCTTACACAGTTTATACAAAGATCTCAAAGCAATTTATAAATGTAATTAAATTTCACTAGATGGTGCAACGGATAGAGTAATGGGCCTGGAGTCAGGAAAACTCATCTTCTCGAGTTCAAATTTAGCCTCAAACACTCACTGAGTGACCCTGGACAAGTCACTTAACCCTGTTTGCTTCAGTCTTTTCATCTGTAAAACGAGCTGGAGAAGGAAATGGCAAACCACTCCAGTAACTTTGCCAAGAAAACCCCAAAATGGGGTCACAGAGTCAGACTTGACTAAAACAACTGAACAACAACTCTTGAAATAAGTATTTCAATTTCTGTGTTACAAGTAAACCTAGAAAACAGCAAGACTTGCCTAAAGGATTCTTTGAGAGCATATTAAGCACCCTCCTGGCTCCTCTACTGAAAGAAAAATCAATTGCTTCAACTGCTTATAAGGGGAATACCCCCATAACTATATGCTTCCCAGGATAAGCCGACAAAACAGAACAAGAAATTAATAAAATATTTCATTCTTTTGTCATAACTGAGTTTTGCTGAGTGAATAACGCAATTTATTTAACAAATAAACCTTTATGGATACGTAAGGATGAAGACAGCAGCAGTTTTTTGACTTTGTTCTCCTCACCCTAAATCTTAACAGGTTAGGAATAGACTTCTTTCCAGGGTGTGAGTGAGGAGAATTGGGCTGGACCAAAACACGATTTAAAAATCAGCTTAAAGTCTTAGGCCCATTTCTCTATTCCGGGAAGTCAAAGGGAAATATGAAATGAGAAGAGACTATTTAAAGTTAGGCTTTTTAGTACTGCTGGGAAGTGAGCTACTTTCAGAAGCAGCTTCCAGGAGCCTTTTCATTCAAATGAATAAACCATCAGGCACTGACAGATACAACAGCTTCCTGGACGTATTGATCTGTTTGCAGAACTACAACCTGCAGTTGCTAAAGTAGCAGAGACCATAAATTATATAACAGATTCACTGTCTCTAGTCACAGGTTTACAGGCCTCAAGCTAGACAGGCCCTTAGAAGTCACCCAGGCTACCCTACTTCCTACATACTTTTTATTTTTTAAACTGAGGCCCAGAGATGTTCTGTTACCTGGCCACACAGATACAAAAGAAACACGAGACGTGTGAATGTAGAGAATCCACCCCAAATGTTCACATGGTGTATTTGTGCCCAACTTACGGTAGAGCATTCCGAGCTCCTATCTGATCATCTACAGTCTGACATACTGTAACTTGACTCCAGCACAGTGACGTCATTTTGGTTCTCCTCGAGAACGAAGGACTACAACCAACCCCTAACTAAATGGCACAATCGGAATTTGAACACAGGTCCTCTAATTCCACAATGATCGTTCTTTCCGCTGAGCCATGATGCCTCATGGCCAGCAGATCACTTAATAGCTATTGCTTTCATTTTTCTATTAAAATGATATAAATTGGGGGCAGCTAGGTGGCACAATGGATAGAGCACCAGCCCTGAAGTCTGGAGGACCTGAGTTCAAATCTGGCCTCAGACCAAACACTTGACACTTACTAGCTGTGTGACCCTGGGCAAGTCACTTAACCCCAACTGCCTAAAAAAACAAAAAACAAACAATAAAATTACATGAATTTTTAAAAGATTAAATATTTTATGCAATTGAGGGATAAAACGGATAGCGATCCTGCAAAAGACAATCCAATTTAAATACATTAGTGACTACATCTGAATTCCTAATGGTCTTAGAATCACCAACTGTTACAGCTGCAAGGGATCTTGGAGATGATTTACAACTTGATATTCCTCTCCCCACCTCCATTTTACAGATGAAGAAACTGAGGCCCAAAGAATGGAGGTACCTTACAGGTGGACAGCAGCAGAACCAGGACTGCAAGGGTTTAAGTCTCCTGACTCCCAGTCTAGTGTTTTTTTCAGGGTTTTTCTCCTTAGAAGTATACCGCAGAACATGGAAGTGGTGAATTTCAAAAGCTTTATTCTTTTAGTGACATTATGAAATGCAGGGAATTAGGTGAGCATGAGCTAGGGTGAACTAACACAAATAGGTTGGGTCCTGTGACCCACAAAGCTACTATCTGACAACTCTGAACCAGGCTTCAGGAGAGAAGAGAAGCTCCTACATCAAAGCTCCTTAGATCTGCCCAACAGGTGTATATAATTGCAGCTGGGGGTCTAGGAAGAATTGCCTTCTTGAGGTTAGTAACTTGGCTGATGGTGAATCTCAGAAAGAGGAACGCCTCCCGTTACCATGATAGGAGTTGCATCTTCTCTAAATTAGTTCCTCCCTTTGGATCTATGGATAGAATTTAGTAGGTCCAAGAACTTGGATGGGAAGAAAAATTACATCTTCATTTTCACTAACATTTAACTGAAATTTAGCATCTCCTTCAGTTACAAATTAAAAAAAAAAGTAATGATTGTGAGAAAAGATCCATATATTTCACCAGACTGTTAAAAGGGTACATGACACACACATAAAAAGATTGAGAAGCCCCACTCTAGAGGCCCAATAAAGCATTCAATCTTCAATAAAATAAATAAATTTATTTTCTAACCTGGCTGATTCTACTGTGGAATTGGCAAAAAGGAAGCCTGCTTCTCAAGAACAGAGTACTTACTTGATTGACTGAAAAAGCAGCACTGTTACCTAGTGTAATCAAAGCTCTTTCACGAATTAAAGGATCCTCAGTTGACTCTAGCAAGCAAATGAGTTTTTTAAGATGTTGGGCATCCAGTACACTAGATGATTTGGTACAGTCATCCTCTGACAAATATGTAGAGGAAAAAAAAGAACAAAGAAAAGAAACAAGTCAATCAGATTTATTGGATACTTAAACTATTGATTTCTGACTATTCTAAGACCAGGTCAATTATGAAACTGTCAGTAACTAATACAGATTTAGGTATATCTTTATAAAACTTTATTTTAGAAACTTTAAACATGCTGCTCCTCCAATTATTAAGGTTTCTACCTTGATTATGCCCTCTTCTCCACTCACGCATGTCATCAGGTTATTGTTCGGCATAGATAAATTCTGACATTAGAAGTGACTCAGGAGCAGAAACCATTATTGTTTTTCCATATCATATTACTTGCATTTAGTACAGTGCCTTATATATGACTTAATAAATATTGACTGAATTGAATCATGAATGAAGATTTACCAACTTTTATATTGCAGAAACTATGAATATGAAGTTATGGTAATGTGGCAAAGTGTACACTGAGAGGTAGTCTATAAAAAAATGAAAATTCACTTTGTCTCCTTCACTTATATGTGCACACGAACACATGACCTCTGAGGTACCTTCCAGCTCCAAATCCTATGCTATGAACCAAATAATAAGCATTTTTAAGTGTCTACCCTGTGCTAGGCACTATTCTAGGCACTCACCAGATCATACTGAAACACTCACAAACACTGCCATCTGATCTGCCAATACCCCCTAAGAACTCCTGGGTCTTGCCATCTGCTCTACTGATGTGTCTGAGATTTTCTGGTTTCTTACAATTGAATTCTTTTATGTGCTGTCTCCTCCAACTAGAGGGTGAGCTTCTTGAGCAGAAGGGCTTTCTAAATTTTTCTATTTCAATCCCCAGCCCTTGGCATAATGATTTGTACATGAGTGCTTGGATGATTTTTCATTCATACACACACACATATTTACACCTACGTTTTACTTATTTAGAAGCCACTAACTGGATTCTACATGATATCCTAGTTTAATTGGCATTTTGCTCAAAAATTAAAATAAAACAAAAAACAAAAACAAAAACCTAAACCCTATACCATTAACAACCCCACCCCCCCATACAAAAACAAACAAACAAAAAAACCCACCACTGGCCTATGAGGTAATGCTAAAAGGTCATTATAAATATATTCTTGAATAACTATTGAGTACAGTCAGGGAAAGATTAAGATATAGATTGTGGGACACACTTAAGAAAGCTTTTAGCAGTTGGATAAGCAATTCACTGTTACAAGCATTTAAAAAGTCTGATGATTTAATGCATCGGACATTTATTAAATAAACCCTTCAGTCTTCACAAAATAGGACTTCAATTCAATATAGAGTTATTAAGTGTCTATGTATAAGTTCTTGTCTAAAAGCCTTTTCACAAAGGATAGCCTGACAATGGTTAAAAAATTTTAGGTAAAGCAATCATTGAAACAGATTTTTTTTTAAGTTATAGATAATCTAATTCACTGTCTCTTCTTACCCAATTGTATAGATAAAGAAGGAGGTCCAAAGAGGTTAAACGACTTAATAGACTCACATTATCGTAGGGTTAAAAGGGACCACAGGGACCCCACAACAGTGTAAGGCAAAAATTATTAGACTGGAAGTCTGGAGATCTGATCTCATGCTGGATCTGCCACCTACTACCTGTATAACTGTCACTTCAGGCTTTATTTTCTCATCTGCAAAATGAGATGAATGAATTAAATTATATGGCCAAGTTAAATAGATATTTTCAGAAAAAAGAAAATAAAGGACTACTACAAATACCTAGACTCAGAGTTCTACTGGAACTGGGTTCAGATTCTGTCTACGCTGTATACCTGTGTGACTTTGGATAGGCAAGTCATTTAACTTCCCTGGGCTTCAGTTGTCCTTACTGGTAAAATGAAGTGGCTGGACTATATGGGCTCCAAGGCCCACTGCAGATCTAGAACTGTAACCCTAAGCATTAGAAGGAACCGTGAAGGTTACCTAAGGCAACCCCAGCAGGACCTCTACTACGTTTGTGGTACACGGTCATGAGCAGCCCCTGAAAGACTTGCAGCGGTGAGGAGTCTACTACTTTCTAAGTCAATCCATTGCACTTCTGAACGGCTGGGACTTTTCTTTCCATCTAGCCTGAACCCGCCTCTCTGCAAATTCCAACTACTGCTCCTAATTCTGAATTCTTGGACCAAGCACAGCAAATCTAATCTCCCTTTCCAATATGATAAGTTTCCAAATACTTGAAAGACAGCTATCATGTTCCCACATGAAATCAAGCTTCCACATAATATAATATGGTAGCAACGTTACAAATTTACTCAATCAAATATTATCTCCTCTAACACTTCCTGTCATGAAACCTAATTTTCCAAAATCTGATTCTAATTCTATACTATACACATTTTTCTAAGATGGCTTATTGTTTTTTAAATTATTATACTCTATTTAACGTTTATTAACAAAATTTTTTGAGTTCCACATCTCTTCCTTACTCCAGTCCTTCTTGCACCTACTGAGAAGGCTTATCGTTTAGAAGAAGTCTGTTGTTTATTAGAAGTTGGCTGTTTTTAAGGCTGCTGAGAATTATACAATTTGGGGACTAGCTGGGAACACTGACTTAACTGTGGGTATTCTAAATGTCCAGTGACCAGCAAAGCAACATACCATCAAAGAACTGAACTTCATCAATATGGGCATTTTTGTGATTAATGAAACCAGAAGACAAAAGAAAGATGCAGCTAGATTGGAAGAATGGTTCATAAGCACTCTTTGGAGAGGCAAAGAAAGGAGTTGGTTTCATTGGGTGTCCACTATTTCATGTGGCATTTATTAGTTTCCTCTTGTAGTGCTCACAATGAGCGTTAAGTAAAAGGAGTACCATGAATATAAGTGTAGCTTATGTACCAACACTGGTGACGTAGGATGAAAAGGTGAAAAAATTCTAGCAACAAAATACAAAAATAAACAACAAGTCAATCGTTACTTGCAAGAAGTACAATTCTAATGAGGGAGACAAGTACCCATGTAAACATGTACAGCATAAAGAGATAGTTAATAAATACAAACATATACAAAGTAGTTAAATACAAGGTTTTGGGAGGGAAGACATTAGAAGTTGTAGGGAAAGTCAGTATCTTAAAGGAAGAGAGGAACTCTATGAGGTAAGGCATCGGGAAGTACCAGTGCAAAGGTGCAGAGATGGGAGATCTGTGTCTAGTGTGAGGAACAGAAAGAAAGCCAGTTTGGCTGGATCAGAGTTCAGCAGTGGTTGGAAAATTAGGTTGCTAGGAACTTGCTAAGATCCTCTAAACCAAGTCGACATAATTTGATGATTGGTTAGTTTAAAATGAAAGTAGGTAATGAAAAAATAATAAAAATTTAATTAATAACTTCCTGCAGAAGTTTATACCAAACTGCTCCCATAAGGAGGCCAAAAGATCACAGAAAACTCTTACACAGAAGATCCTTGCTAAGCAGTCACATGGCTAAAGGCAATGCCAATTTAGAATGTAAACTCATTGGTAGAACATCATGGTTAAAAAGGAGAAAACTGAGTACTGGGAAGGCAAAATGACATACTTATTTGATAAGAAATCCGTAGCACCTCTTTGTAAAGCAGCAAAAAGCAGAGGCAAACACAAACTTCAAATAGCTTGGTCTAAGCTACAACTACAGCACAAGAGCCTCCATTGAGGATCCCTAGATGAATGAAAACAAAGATGAAAAATGAAACATTAATCAGTGTCTCTATGGTAATCTATTTTTGCCAAGTAGCATTGTAATCATCACATTTAGATCCTAACACTTCAGCTCCTTCGAGAGCTACGGTAGGAAACCATACAAGTACCTAAGAAGTCAAGAAGACTGGCTGTACCAGATCAGAAGAAATCAATTCTGAAGGCGACAATCTGGGAAATGGATCAAATATCACTTTATATTTGGCATTAAAAGGTTGTTACAACCTGACCCCTCTTCTCTATCTCTTCAACCATTTTCTTTTTCTCTCTATGCTAAAACAGAGTTAAATAGAAAATCAGCAGGCTAAAACGCCCAACTTTCCAACTTTCTTACACACTCATGCACTTTACAATTCCTTCATCCATATAGGGTCTATGTGCTATTCCCTTTCCACCTAGATGACTTTCCATTACTTGTCCAATGTCTGCCATGCTTTCCCCTCCTCACTTCGTCCTAGGTTTCTTTTATGACTCAGTAATAACCTTCTTTAGGAAACCTTTCATGGTCTATTCAGTTAATGATAAGAACAGTAGCTAATATTTACATATACCTCTTTAAGGTTTGTTCTCAAACTTCTTGTTACTCTTTAGACCCAATTCAACTGCAACTACTCTCTTCCAAGTCACCAATGTCTTAATGAATACATCCTGTGTTTTTCTCAGTCCTATACTGTTTGACACTGTTGACCATCCTTTCCTCCTGGATACTCACCATCCTTAGCTGCTGAAAATTATGTGTACCAACTATAAAAAATTCTCTATCTGCACACTTGGGGAAAAAACCTACAACTCTGGAAAGTAAATCTCCCAATTTGCTTAAAAAATGTTCCAAATGAAGTGTCTGACTGGGTGTTGAACCCATTTGTTAAAAACAGAAAAATGCCACACGCTCCAATTAGCTTGTAAGAACAACTAGCTGACATGAGGGAAGAGGGAAATTTACTATTCAATTTCAATAAAAACCTCTGCATAGTTGGGTAATGGGATAGAACAACAATGATTTAGTGAGCACAGCCAACAATAGATTTCTTTCACTTGAATCTAGGTGCCTTTGTGAGGGTTTTTTTTTTTTGCATTCTGACAGCTGTTAAAACTGAGTTTTAAAAGAAATTGAACATAGAACTAAAACTTCAAATCATCGTATCACAAAGTATTAAAGTAAAAAAAAAATTCAAAAGTAATTTGGGATAGTAAATCGAAATGCTTGCATCAGAATAAGCATTATGAGTTTTACTGAGAGCAAAATCATTTGTTGTACCATTAATAAAATATTTTAAAATACTCTCAATCTTTTTAAAATCTCTATCTTGTAAAACTTAAAAATGCACAAAATCATATGTATTATGCAATTGACTTTGCAGAAACGTACATTGCAAGTAGATAGCCTTAGTTGTTTTTTTTTTTTTTTTTTGCTGAGAGAGGTACATGACCAAAAGGCCAGCCCACTGAGTCAGTCCATCAGTAGATCTAGCCAACAGTTGCTGTGGGTGGATAATGAGTTGGGAGAAGTAAAAAGGAAGATTTGGATGAATTGCATGAGGTAAATTACACCGAGATTTTAATGATCTCAAGCTGCTTCTTGGTACTAAAACTTATTCTTCAACACAGACATCCTCCCAGTGAAGCTATATGGTTGCAAATCTTGTACCATAATTTCTTAAGGACAGTGATCTCACCCCTTCCGGTTGATAGACACATGGTGAACACAAGTAGGCTGTAGCATATATTTAATGCTGGCCTATGTGTTAGAACTGGCAAGAGGTGTATTATTCAGGAAATGTATGACTGCCAAAGAAGATGAGTCACACAGAAAGATGGAGGGACATATGGTACTCAGAAAACTCAGTTCCTGACACTTATTACCTCTGTGGCCTTGGGCAAGTTTGGGCCTCAGTTTCTTCAAATGGAAAATGAAAGCTGGACTGGATGGCCTCGGGGGTCCCTTCCAATTATAGATTGTGACAGTTGTCATATGGCCAGTCACTTAACTAGCTAGCTGGTTCTTGACAATGTCCACTGAAGTGGTCTCTTCTAACCAGCTGGGTATTGTACAGTGGATAGAGCTCTGGACCTGGAGTCAGAAAGACCCGAGTTCAAATTTAGCCTAAGATACTTCCTAGCTTGTGACCTTGGTCGTGTCACTTCATCTGTCTGTTTCAGTTTCCCCAACTGTAAAATGGGGATAATAACAGCACCTAGCTCCCAGGATTGTGGGGGTGGGGAGAATACTTGTGGTATACAGATGTGATCTCAGGTCTTTATGTTAACCTCAGATTCATGGGATTCTGTTTTTCTTTTAATTGAGGTAACTGTATTTGAATAAAATTCTTTTCCTTTGTAGTTCTATGTATTTTATTTTACACACCTGAAAGCAGTATTCTAAAAAAGGGTCTATGGGCATCACCAGAATGCCAAAAGGGTCCAAAGGTTAAGAACCCTTCCTGCTCCTACGACTTCTGACATTTTGTAGGTACCTGTTCAGCACTGGGGTGGATTTGCATTCTTAGCCATCAATCTTTCCTCCACGAGGAAGTCATTTTAATGTCAGTAAATAAGCTTTTCTAGTTATATAATGGAATAAAATCACTGACCCGATGGGGAAAATGAATCAAGAATGTCAAAGTGATTTGTTGTTGTTCAGTCATGTCGGTCTCTTTGTAGTATTTTCTTGGCAAAGATACCAAAGTGGTTTGCCATTTATTTCTCCAGTTCATTTTACAGATGAGGAAAACGAGGCACAGTTAAATGGCTTGTCCAAGTTCATACAGCTAGTAAGTATCTGAGGCCTGATTCCTCATTTGAAGTGAGGAAGATGATTCTTCCTGACTCCAGGCCTGGCACTCAATCCACTTTGTCACCTAGTTTCCCAACTTAAAAAAATAGTGATAGAGCAAAAACATCACGACAAGAGGAGAAATACAACTTTAGGGAAATAATGTTATTTCCATTACTTCTGAGGAACATTAGACTTTCAATAGCTCTGTAGTCATACCAGCTTAACATTACTGTCTATCATGAAAATTCAGTTAATATCCAGATCCTTAAAAATGGCTTTTAGTCAAATAGGAGAGTAAATTTGTACTGAGACATAGGAGATATTAGTCAGACAAAGTGGAGTAAGTTATAGATTACACGTATATCTACGTATCTATATATGCAGCTAGGATAAATTGGAGAAAATCTCAGAGGAAAGGCATTACTATTAAGGACTGAGAAAGGCTTCCTGCAGAAGGTGGGATTTTGGCAGAGATCTGAAGAAAGCCTGAAGGCTTCCATTACATTCAGAATTTTTTAAAGAACCATCACAGCAATGGCAGAAATTTAACCCTCCCCTCCCCACCTCCATCACCAACTACAGTCCAGTAGCCTAGCCTAGTACCCTAACAGAGGGTAGCCGAATATAGGAAAAGCAGGCGGTACCTCGTTTGAACCTCACAACTCTGGGAGGCAGGGTACTGTTGTTACCCCATTTTACAGTTAAGGAAACAGGCAGGCAAAAGTGAAGTGACTTGCCCAGAGTCACTGGGCTCATGTGTCTGAAGCTGGATCTGAACTTGACTCCTGGGCCAGCGCTCTCTCTGCCTCGCCGCCCAAGTGCCTCAAGAGCATTTCATTCCACCGGCTTCTCCAGTCCGAGTTTCCCCAGGGCTGCAAACCCCATCAACCCGTGGGCTGCCCAGGCCTCCTGACCCACGGAGGGAAGGCAACAGCGCCTGGGTCCGGTCTCTCCTGCCCTCTCCCCAATCCCGGGTCTCGGTGGGGGGAGGGCGGGCGCTCACCTGCAGGAGGGGAGGGGCTGGACCCCCGCTGGGGGAGCGTCCTCCCCTGCCCAGCAGGGCAGCCGCGGCTCCCGCCCTCAGTCGCAGTCTTCCGGCTCTTTTTTCCCCCCCAGGCCAGTCGGTAAACGCAGTAACAAGCGCCGGCCCCGAGCACCAGGCCCGCTACCCAGCCCACCTGCTGGGCTCTGCCCATGCTGTCCCCCCGGCCCCAGACACGGCCCAGGCGGCGACGGGGCTCCCCGGGGACTAGGACCAAGACTCCCAGCAGCGTGCAGCCCAGCGGGAGCACGTGTGAGCGAATTGCTAGTACGCGTGCGCGCCGGGGCGGGCTAAATCGAGGAGGAAAAGAGGATTTCAGTTCCGCCTCCCCTCCCCCCACCTCTGGCAGGCTAGAAACTGCAGCTCCCCGCGGTGCAAACTTTTTTGTGCCTCTAGAGGGGATCCTCGCCTTTCAGCGGCAGCAGGGATAATCCTCACGAGCGCTCTGCACCGGCACACACAACAAGGGTTTTTATTTTGTTTTGTGTGTCCAAGAAGCTAGGGGTTAGAGTTTGTTGTGCGAGTTACGATTTGGGCATTTACCTACCTCAGTGTATATAACCACACTCCTGATAATTCCTCAGCCAGAATCCATGGATAGATTGCAAGGGTTCATGAACTTGATTTGGAAAAAAACAAAACCAAAACATTTATTTCAATATAATTGACTTCTTTCGTTGGGTTACAGGCTTTGGAAGCCCCCATTTTCTCACTTCCCATCAAGGAAGTCTCTAGCATTCACTTGAGGCTATAGTCCACTCTACTGGCCTTTCATTGCATTTGTGAGGAATCTCCTAATTCTTTGTTACCCTTAACCTAGTCCAGCCATCTGTTGTCGGTTACCTCAGGATGGTCCTGGGCTACTTCCCACCCTTGATCCTATCTAGACTGCATTTTCAGTATGGGATCTGGACCCCAAAAAGGAAAAACCATGGACTTTCCCACATGGCCAAATCTATGGTGTTCACCTGAAGCAATAATTCTATCAACTGGCCTTTCATTATCACAAACTGAATTGTTATCTAGCCCTCCGTGGTCTATTTAGGGTGTCTATTTTGTGGCTCCAGTCACTTCCCACCCTTAATCCTATCTGGACTCCAGTCTCCCTTGGCCACGTGGTCCAAGTCTCTGGTTCTGTTTACCCCAATTTACTGGCCACTCCCATCCAGATTTTCCTTAGACCCCCTCCTCTAGTCACCCCAAACTACTTGGCCACTCCTAGATTCCTCCCATAGTCTTTCTGTATATAAGGTCCATCTCCTTTCCATTAAGGTGCTCAGATTCTTAAAATCTAGCCACTACTTGGATTCTTAATCTGGCCTGCTTGCAATAGCGAAACAAATGTTTAGATTCTTTAGAGTCTGGCCTATATGGTGGATTCTTTAAATCTCACTCTCCCCTTCCCCCCCATCGATGTTCTAATAAACCTTGTCTTTGGCTGAAAGAAGGCTTGGGTGGAATTCATTCGGGCTGGACCCGAATGTCTCTATTCCGGGATCCCAGCACTCCTAAACCTCAACAATAACTATGTATTTTGTTTATACATTGAAATACATTATTCTGAGAAGAGGGGGCTATAGACTTCACTAGATTGACAAAGGAGTTCATTACACACAAAAAAATCTTAAAACTAAAAGGGCCAGCCTAGTGCAAACATTTGTATTCTTCATTTCCTGTCATTATTTAAGAAACTATGCCCTAGACCTAGAATGAAAGGTTCAATGGATGTGGAGTCAGAGAAGCGGCTCTCAAATCTTGCTTCTAGCGTATGCCACCTGCCTGACCTTGGCTAATCCCTTAACCTCCATCTGTAAGCATTGCACCTGGCATTTAGTAGTGTTGAAAGGAAAATTCTTCATCTGGGCTTTCACCTTCATTAAGGAGGCAAAACTCTGGGCAAAAAGAACTAAAAGGATTTTAGTTTAGATAAGTATGTCAAGGTAGCAACATATAGGCGGGCTGATCACTGATGATCAGCCATGGCTTCAAGGTGGGGACAACTTTTATGGGTAACTTTAAATTAAACATTGGTCCACCTCAGCAAGAGGTGGGGCCTTTGAATCTCAGTTTCTCCCCAAAATAGCAAGAACGTGACAATTTGCATGTAGGGGTAAGTGAATAAGACAAGTGATGGGAAAACTACAAATGTGGTGTCTCCTTCCCCACCAGACCCTTTCCTAACACTGTTTGGTAAGCAGGGCTAGGAATAATGCATAACTAAATCAACATAACTTTCAACAGAAGGGGCTTAAAGTTTATTGAATGGAATTAAATCGAATCTTTCAGGACCCCCGTTTAAACATCTTTTTGGCATTTAAAGCTCTTTTCACAACCTCACCAGAGTCTAACTTTCCTGGGTTATTACGCATTGCTCTCCTTTACTCATTGTAAGGTCCAACCAGGATGGCCTACTTAAGGTTTCTTATGTACAAGGCTCCATCTTCTATCCCCCAGACTTTGAACAACAACAAAAAAAAGGCCTGTTACCCCAGCTCTAGAATGTACTTATCTCGGGAATCCCTGGCCTCCTTTAAAGCACCACCTCCTACGTGAGGTCTTTCCTGAAAAATTCAATTGCTACTGCCTTTTTGACTCATTTACTTTGTATTTTTGTATGTATACTTTACATGTATGCATAGTGTCTCTAAGCTCCCCAAAGACTTTTACTTTGTTGCACTTTTGACATGTTAACTGTTGGGAGAATTTTCCCATGGGAGTTCTAGCTTCTTTTGGCAGAACCTGAGGGTCACAACCTGTTGCGTGGCAAAAACAAGGAAGTCTCGCAAGACCTCTCCTTTGCTGACACGCAGCTCCCACAGTTGGCTCGGCTCTCCTCTCATTGGGAGAAAAATCCTACTCATACCCCTGCTGCAGGTGGGTTGACACGAGGGCTGCAGGTGTCCAGCAGACTTGGTGATTAGCTATCATGTGGAGATCATGCTTTGATCAGGTGTTACTATGGATATATAAGAAAGCTACTAGCACTTAATAAATGGAGCTTCTGCCATCTTGCTGTCTCTTGCCTCATCAATGCGCCTCCGGGTTAAGAGTATTGAGCTGGTTTCACGCTCACCTGCAGCGGCCATGTCAGTTAACTACTTATATGACACCTCTCCCCCATATATCCAGTATATACCTTGTATATTCATTATTATTTACAAATTGTCTTCCCTATTAGAATATAAGCTCTTCAGGGCAGGGACAGTGTTAGTTAAATAAACAAACAGATAAATAGTAACTAGCATTTACATAAAACTTTGTTGCTTTTAATGTATTTACTCATTTGAACTTCACAACAACCTTAGGAGGTAAGTCATATTATTATTCTCATTTTACACAAAAGTTAACAGAGGGTGAAAGAAGGTAATTGACCTGTCTGGAATTCACACAGCTAGCAAGAACCTGAGAGTTTTTGAACTAGTCTTCTGGACTCCAAGGCTAGCACCCCACCTGGCTGTCTTTTTGCATCCCCAGCGCTTAATGCAATGCCCGGCACACAGAAGGCACTTTCATAAATGCTTGTTGCATGAATGAGTGGCCTAAAACACCTCTTACATCCCACTCTCACTCCTCATTTCCTGCACTGGTCCTACAAAGCTCAGCTTGACTACAACGTGGGCCAGGCCGGCTCAGGCGGTTGTCTCTTCTAGCCTGCCAGGCGCGCGTGCGCCCACGGCAGTGGGGGTTGGGGAAGTCCCAGATCCGGTTGCCAGGAACAACGCCCGGCGGCGGGCGCAGAGAGTGGTGCTGGGGTGCGAAGGGCGGAGCCTTCGCCTCGTTGTCCTCGGCTAGCCCCAGCCTGCCCAGAACGATGCCACTCTGGAGAGGAGGAACTGTTTCAGCCAACACTACCTAACCCAGGTGTCCAAGGTACTAGCCGAAGAGGAGCTGGGCTCCGTCCCCCCGGGGCCTCCCACACACCTCTGGACACACCACGTGCTCTGGGCCACTTTGCTCCTCCCAGTCAATGTCATCCCACCCTCACCCTTAACTCTGCCTGATCCTTACCCTTTTTCATTCCCTTTACTTCTCTTAAGCACCTCTTTCTTTCCCTGCCACAACCACCTGGTTTTTGTTGAACCGTGGCCTCTCTGGAGCCGGCCATGCATTGTCACATCCAACTATCAGTGTGGCTTTGGGCAAATCACAACTTTTGGGACCTGAGTTCCTTCATCTGTAAAATGACGACTGAGATCCTTTTCAACCCTAAATTGATGATACCATGATCCTCTCTCCAGTCCTTTTGCAAGTCGACCTCTCAATATTATTGATCTAATCCCAGTCAATTACCCACTTTGCCTGTCATGTCAGGCAGCATAATGTGGTAGAAGGAGATTTAGGCAGCATGGTATGGTGGGGAAAGAGAGTCAGAAAGAGACCTGGATTTCTGGTCTACCTTCGTGGGTTTATTAGGACCATGGTTAAGTTGTATCACTTTTCTGATTTTGTTTCCTCGTTTGTTAAACAGGAACAAAAATGTCTGTAGTCAAAAGCTCATCAGGTTTGGTATAAAATTAAAGTTATTATGGTTTTTATTGGAACACATTTTCAAAGGATCTTAACAATGTGTATTTTCTTTGTTTCAGTCAGCTGTCTTGCCATAAAAATGTGGCCTATTATAAAAAACAATTGTGAAGGTATAGCTGTTGCCTTCTTATGTTTTCATTTTGTATCTCTTCAGTGTGTTCATAGTACCCTCCACAGATAAGAAAGAAGGCATAGCAGCTGGGAATGTCTTTTTGGTTACCTTTCTTCTTCATAAAGGCACCATTTATGATCTTTTCCATTCTTTTAAAATCTTTCACTGTCTCAGCTTACAATTCTATTTCAGAGTGCTTTAAAATTATATTGCCCCCATGCAGACTTCTCTGTGTTTGGCTAAGTTCAGCCACCAGTCATGACTTCATAAGTGCCATTATCATGTCCTTACTTAGGATTTTAGACATAGGGATGCTGTGATCTAAATGTTCTTAATGTAAAGAGATCACTGTGAAAATGCCTGTAGGTCCATTTTGTTTTCTCTGTTTATCATCTTTTGTCCAGTTTTATCTACAAATGCACTTGAGATAATTTGGCTTAGCTGGATCTCATCTAGAGGGGATGATGATGATGATGATGATGATAACTACTTATATTTTCATATGGCACTTTATGCCCATTTTCTATTTTGGTCCTCAAATAAATACTCTGAGGTATGCAGCACAAGTACTATCATCTTGGGGCAGCTAGGTCGGACAGTGGATAGAGGACAGGGCCTGAAGTCATGCAGACCTAAATCCAATCTTAGACACTAGCTATGTGCCCCTGGGTAAGTCACTTAACCTCTGTTTGCCTCAGTTTCTTCATCTGTAAAATGAGAATAATAATAAGAGCACCTACCTCCCACAGTGATTGTGAGGATCAAATGAGTTAATAGTTGTAAAGTGCTTAGCACAGTGCCTGGTGCAGTAGAAACTATATAAATGTTAGCTAGCATTATATAGTGAAGCATAGTCAAACAAAACTAATTCCTACATTGGCCATGTCCAAAAATGTATGTCTTATTCCACATCTTGAATCCATCTCTGTCAAGAGATGGGTAGCATGCATCATTATCATTATCAACCCTCTTGAATATTTCATTGATTAGTTATTAAGTCTTTCAAAGTTGTTTGTCCTTACAGTATTGTTTGGTTCTGCTCACTTCATTGTGTACTAGTTCATACAAGTCTTCTCAGGTTTCCCTAAATCCATCTCCTTCATCTTTTCTTACAGTGGAATAGAATTTCATTACATTCATATACCATAATTTGTTCAACCATTCCCTACTTGATGGGTACACCCTTAGTTTCCAGTTCTTTACCATTATGGAAAGTGCTGCTGTAAATGTCTTTGCACATAGGGGTCCTTTTCCTCTTCTTTTATAGGCTTAGTATCAGTGGGTAACAGAGTATACACATTAGAAACTTTGGGGGGCATTATTCCAAATTACATTCTAGAACGGCTGGACCAATTTACAGCTCCACCAACAGTGCATTAACAATTTCCCATAGCCCTTCCAACATTTGCCATTTTCCACTATTTTCACCTTTGCCATCAAATCTGGTGGGTTTTAGATGGAACCTCAAAGTTGTTTTAATTTCACATTTAGCACTTTGCTTGTATGTCTCATTGTACTTGTCACTTACCACTTTTGAGAAGCAGCATGACATAAGGGAGAGAACATTAGATTTGGCATCAAAAGACCTGGATTTGAGTTTTGGCCCAGACACTTTCTAGTTGTGTGACCAGGGTCAAGCAATTTAACATATCTGAACTTGTGTCATGATCTATAAAATCTGGGTTTGTGAAATGCTAAGTTAAATGAATTGTCGTTTTTGCCTAACTTTAGGCAAAATTGTGAAGTAAGTCAATTTTGTCTTTTGGCTCATAGTCTCCTCTTTCTTTGTCCATCTTCTTTCACATTCCCTCCACCCCTTCTCTCTGAGGCTTCCTTTGTCTCTAATATATTGTTGTGTGAATTAGTTCAGTGTTAACCTTCAGAGCAGCATTTGCGTTTTTAAAAAGACTGTAGGAGAGAAAGCCAAAGAAGTGAATATGTTATGGTAGGTTTTTTGGTACCCTTGAGAGGGAGATACTTTCAGTTAAGGTTCTCTCTGGTTTGTCATTAAATTACATAACACAGGCATATACTTACCCTGCCTGCTTATAAATTTGACTAATAATAAGGTAGATATTTCCACTGTAGTTTTTATAAAAAAAATCAAAAGCACTATACTTAACTAGTATACTTACTTCCGTAGTTTTGGAAATAAAAGTGCATCCTCAAATTAGAAGAAGTGAATAGAGTTTTGGAGTTGTAATCAGGAAGATGTCTGTTTAAATTCCACTTCAGACTTTTAGCAGTTATGTGATTCTGGGAAAGTCAGGTGGTACGGTTGGTAAAGCTCTGTACCTGGAGTCAGGAATACCTGACTTCTAGTTTTGTGACCCTGGGCAAGTCACTTAACCTCTGTCTGCCTCAGTTTACTAATTTGTAAAAAGGAGATAATAATAGCGCTTATCTTTCAAGGTTATTGTGAGGATAAAATGAGATAATATGTGTAAAGCATTGTACAAACCTTTAAGTGCAATATATTAGCTGTTACGATTGTGGTTATGATTATGATTTTTATTATTTAATCTCTATATGTCTCAGTTTCCCCATCTGCAAATTAAAGAGTTGGATGCTATGACTTGTAAGGTGCCTTTCAGCTCTGGTTCTATGGTCCTATAATTCCAAATCTAGAATGGAGTTTAATGTCTATGAAAAAATAAAGTACTTCTCAAAAAGTTGTCCAGCAGAGGGAGTATCTGAATTGTTGGGGGCCTGTTTCAAAAGATGTGATTTGTATTGAGTCAAGTACTGATACTTTATAGTTCCTTTGTAGTTAGCATTTCTAAAACACCAACTGTATTTACGTATTTGGTAAATAGGCAAGTTTTCAAAATGGAAAGTAGATTGTGTTAAAGCAAGCTTTTTGGCATCATGGTGTTACAGCGACAACAACAAAAAAGATGATTTGGAGAGAGAAAGGTTAGGTGGTTGATTCAGCTGAGCACCTAAGAAGTGGTCAGTACCCTTAGGTTTCGCTTCAAGTCCAAGGTCTGGCCCTTAGCTATTTTTGGCTCATGAATTTGATCTTATGGTTCCCTCACTTGGAGGTAATGAGGCTCTGGGTAACTGACTGAAGCCAACCAAATTCACAAGTGATTGATGAATAAACTAAAATGCCAATTTATTCACATACAAGGAGAGACACACTTAGCTAGAGAACTGGTATCAATATGCCTATTCAAATCATTCATTCCTAATGAGTCCATCTGGGAGACACAATTACAAAATGACAAGTTTACATGATAAGTGTGGAGTTAGGGCAAGGGCACTTGGTTGTATTTAAGGGAAATTTCTACTGAGCTAGGAGAGTTTGAAAAATTGGCCTTCATTCTATGGATATTTCTAGCTAAAGAATCAATTAAATTCATTTAAACAATATCAGTCATCTACAGTCTGAGGACCCTTCCTATTGTACAGTACTGAGTAAACCACTGATCAGTTCCTACTCTTTCATCTCCTTTATATAGATTTCATTGCAGACTAGCATTCTTTTGTTGAGGCATTATTTTGAGTAAGATTTAATACAGTTGGGTGGATTGTAGTTTTCTCTACAATCAATTACTTTCTAATTAAAGTGCATCCCAGAATCTCTTAAGAAAAGCATGCACTAAAAGAATATAAAGAAAGGAAATCAGTGAGTTACAGTGGAAAGAACATTTGCTCCTAAATCAGAGGACTTGGATTCAAATCCCACCTCTGCCAGTATCTGGCTTATATGGCCTTGAGTAAGTCACTTGACCTTCCTAGACTTCAATTCCTCATCTGTATGTAACATGTATGTACTGGTACTCTGTCTGAAAATCAAGAGGGCTGTACCTGCCCCTCAGAATTTGAGGGTATCCTGAAGGGTTTGGGAAAGCTTTTCCTTTTCTACTGGTCCACTTGAGCCCCTACCTATGTGTTCACTCTCATTTGTTAGGGAGCCACTGATTAATCTACAAAGTTCATTTAATTACTCAGTAAACTCTAGTGGCTTCCTGTTGCTTCTAGAATCAAATACAAAATCCTCTGTTTTGCATTCAGGGTCCTTCATAACCTACCTCCTCTTACCTTTCCAGTCTTATACCTTATTCCTTGTCACATATTCTTCTGTCCAATGACACTGGCCTCTTGGCTGATCCATGAACAAAATACTCCATATCTGGATATTTTCTTTGGCTTTCCCCCATTCCTGGAATGCTGTCTGTCCTCAACTCTGCCTACTGACTTCCCTGGCTTCCTTTTAGTTCTAACTAAAATCTACTTTTTACAGGAAGCATTTCATAACCTCTCTTAATTCTAATGCTTTCCCTTGGTTAATTATTTCCTATTTTTCCCATGTATAGTTTGTATATATCTTGTTTACATGTTGTCTTCCCCATTAAAGGACTTTGAGGACCCTGTCTTTTGTCTCTTTTTGTATGCTTTGCCTTTAGCATGGTGTCTGGCACATAGTAGTTGCTTAATAAATGTTTACTGATTGAATTACTTGACATAAATTAGCTTTTACAA